AGGCATCGCAAGCAGATGGTACGGGCAAACGCATCGGCAAGGCCGAAAGAATCGGTAGAGATGGCAGCGGTGCTCCAAGACTAGGCATAAAGCCGTGGAAGTCTGCGTAGCCTCGTTTAAAGCTGCAGCTTCTGTTGCGGGCCGAGGCACATTTTCACCCTCTGACGTGGTTTTGGCCCGCAGACCTGGCACGGAAGAACATGGTGCATCATCTTCTTGCAGTTCTGTCAGGGAATCAAACTCAAGCTCAAAGTCAGATGCCGTTGGTGTTGCTGGCAGGGACATGATGGGTTCTGCGGCCTCTTCGTCAAGCCGCGCTGCACGTGGTCTTGGCAAAGCATCACCCATGGCCGAGCCTGCTTCAGAGGCCAACGTCACGCCGGATGCTGGAGCTTGACGAGTGTCACTGCTCTGCACTGGCTGCGCCCGAGCTTCTTCCTGTCGCTGTGCCTGAAGCTCGGAATCTGACACCGTGGGTGAATCTGGCACGGCCATGGGCTCTGCGGTGGCTGCATCAAGTCGTTCAGCACTTGACCGTGGCAATGCATTAGCCATCACTGCAGTCTCGCCCAATGGATTGACATGTTCACTCTGTGAGACGCTGCTTGGCTGCACTTCCTGTGCCATTTGCATGCACACGTCACAGAGAGCCTGGCCGGTGGCAAGGCATGTAGCAGCGCGGGGATCCAACATTTTGCCAAGCGTCCACCTTCGACACAAGCTGCCCTCGACAAAGGCTTTCATGCCCGGTGCTGGGGCGCACCTGACTGGCAGCCACAGCTCGGCAGCTCCGTCCTTTCCATCACGGCCAGCCCGACCAAATGCCTATGGCCGATTACATGCACACCATTAATTCAATGAACAATTCATTTTTTTTTTAAAAAAATTGAGACAGTCCCATGAACGTTTGAGCAGCAACTCACCTTTACCAGGGTATAGACGTCATGGCCACTGCCATACCATAGCACGTGGCGGACGGTAAGCAGGTCCACATCCATGCTCAAACAGCTGGTGGCCACAATGACGTCGCATTCACTCTGTTGCCACCGCGCCAGATGGTCCTTCTGCGCCATCTCTTCCAAGTCTGCATAGCAGGGCAAGGCTGCATAGCCGCGTGCGTGCAGCTGGTCACACAGCAGCTTTACCTCGGCCACCGTGTCACAAAAGACCATCATGTGCACACGCTCCTCATTCGCCTGACGCGTCATCCGCTGCCTGTCTACAAGACCTTGCACGTGCAACAAGAAGGCCCGCTGGTCGCCATGATGCACACGCAGCTCCACATTGTGACGCATCGTTTCCAGGCGGTACAGTTTGCCCCCTGCTTCCTGACCCAGCTGTCGAAAAAGCCGCTCTTGGTCGCACATGCATAAAGTATCAGTCAACGCCACGCGCTTGATGTTGGTCCATCCGCCAGAGGCCACGCAGGCCCCGATTTGAGCCATCATGTTCCGGTGGCTGGCATCAGAGATGAGCGTGTGCGCCTCGTCCAGAATCACGGTCCTAATGCCTTGAAAGCAAGCACGTGCGTGCAGGGCGTCAGAGCCCGCGCGAACAAACTTGTCAGTCGTGATGATAAGCACGTCCAGGCCAGCTGCTACCGGCGTCGAGGGGCCCAGCCACCTTTGCGCACTGTGGCCAGCCGCTTGCAAACGCCGCAGCAAATTGTCTGCCAAGGTCGCAAAAGGCACAATCCACAGCACCGTGCCGGCATGCGGGCGACAACCCAGTTTGGGCATGGTACAAAGCGTCTTGTCCATGTCTAACGGCGCGACAACAATCAGCCAGCCATCCTCGGCCCGATGCTGGTCAATGGCCGCTGCCAGGTCCAATTGTTCTTGGCTTTTAAAGCCGTGGCCCCACAAGATGCGTGCCTGCTGGGCCAGCTGGGTCATGTAGGCGACATCATGCTCGGCTCGTGGATCCATGATGACGCGCCCGTCTGCTTCAAGCTTTGATGACACGCTCCAGCTTATGGGGTGGCGAACTTCCAAAGCTTCCTTGGCGGCTGTGAGCTCGGCTACGCTGCGCTTGCGGTCAAGACCCAAAAAGGCATGCCAGCTTTGTGAGGCCAGCTGATGCATCAGACGTGATGACATTTTGGCTTGCAATTGGTTGCTTGTTGCGGTAGCAAAGAAGTCTTTGGCCATGTTGCCCAAGGGCTGTGCCTGGGTGCGCATCAGGCTACCCAAAGTGCTCGCGGGGTCGGCAAAGAGCCGATTTGTCACAAATGTTGTCATCCAGAAGGTCGCGGCGTGTCGCCAATTTGCCACTCCCAGCGTTGGCTAATGCAGGTAGGCGGTCATTTGTCGGCGAAAGGCAGCGTAGATGGAGGCTGGGCTAAGCATGGTCTGCAGGGGCGCAATGTTGAAGAGCAGGTGGCTGTTGTTATAGTGGCGTTGAGCGTCTTGTACCTCGCGTCGCAAGGTCATGACATCGTCGTGGCTCATGTGGTCTTCATCCCGCTCGTCCTCCAATAGATCCTCCTCTTCCTGATCATCGTCGAAGGTTCCACGCCCGCCATCGCGAGGGGTTTGAAGAGCGCCCCGCTTCTCCAGCCAACTTGTCAGCATTTGCTCCAGAGGCTTGCACAAGAGCAAATACATGAAAATCAGCTTGCTGACCTCCTCGTCCATGTACCGAAAGGTGTGCTGCTCATCTAGAGAGAGCCCGTGGGTTTTACCCAGACGAGTCAATATGGAGAGCTGCCTTTCAGCAAAAAACACGGCCCGTTGCCGGCCGACGCCATTTTTGTAGGATAGCCCTTGATATACGGTTGCTTGAGGTGGCAAACCTAACAAAACGCACAGACCAATGCAAACAGATAAGAGTGGTACAATAAACATGCCAAGCTTCTCAAACAGAGTCTTTGCTCAATCGCAAGCGTACCTCCAGCCATGTGGGTGTAGGTGAGCGCCAGCTGGTTGAACCTTCCCACAAATAAAAGCCATTCCCGCACACGGTCTTCTCGAAAGGTCAGCTCTTCATCAGCTCCTTCAGGCTTGGGCTCTGGGCAGATAAATTCTTGCCGCAACCTCGGAGTCTGGCCAATGTGATCCAATAGGGCCCGCTCAGCTGGGCTGCCATGGCCCACCCACCAATTCTTGACCCTGTTGGTCCGATCCTCCTTCGACCGTAGCCGAGCATACTCGCCAATGTATTGCTCTCGCAGACCAGATCCCAGCAAGAGGTGGGTGTCCAAGACCTCCTTCATATCGTTGCGCATCTGTGCCAGGGCGGTCCCAATCTCTTTCACGTTGAGTTCAACGCCTTGACAAACGATAGTGTGCAGCGCCTCGTCCGTCATATCCCCGTCCGTTTGCACCTCAATATCCACTCCAACCTGCCCCTCGACCGTGCTGGCAGAGCGAGCCGCCGTCATGCGCTGGCTCAAAAAATGCACCAGCCGTCCGGGCTGTAGGAAAGCTCTGAGTTTACCCGCAGTGGCCCATCGCTGTGCCTTGCCAAACCGGAGCAAAAACAGCTTGAAAATATAAATCAGGCCGGCCAGCGTTGTGGTCCAGCGCCGGATGTTCTGCAAGACACCGCTTCCCGTGGAAACGGCCGTGCACAATAAAAACACGTTGACAAAGTGCACCTTGTCGTTGTCAAAGAGGCGTAGCTCTGCATTCACCAGCGCCAGCCACAGGGACGTCAGGGGCTCGACAAGATCCTTCCCGCTCAGTCCCGCATCCAGCGCCCCTTGCACGGCCAAGGCAGCTGTAGTTATGGCCTCCCCACGACTGGCAAGCACCTGGCTCAAAAAGCTGGATGGCTCGGGGGCTGGCATTGCGTCCAGTAGCAGTAAAAATTGCACCAAGCGCGCTCCAATGTTCAGGTATCTGCTCATCGTGTCAGGAGATACTTGGGGTAAAGATTGCGGCTGAACTTGAAACTCTTCATCTCCGAACAAAGACGCCACGGAAGCAGCCGCCAGACCGTGCTGGGACAATTGTTCGTGGGCCTCCCAGAAGAGCTCTTGCATGCCCGCCACAAGTGGTGCGGGTGGGGTATCGTGACCCAGCTTGAGAATTTGCTCTGGGGTCAGCTCGTTCAGGATCAGCGTCATGCCCACGCTGTCGTAGAACGGATGCATCTGGTGAACGCCGTGCGGGCAGCGCTTCTCCTCGGCCTCTGAGGCCATGGCCCGGGTGCTTGAGATAAACTGCTTAAACCGCTGCTGCTCCTCCAGCTCCTCCTCGTTTTCGCTGACGTCGGCTGCCGAGGCGTCGTGGCTTTCCTCCACAATGACCTCGACACAGCGGGCCCCGACACCACGCAACGGCTTTTGCAACTTGACGCGTCGAGGTGGCTGTTTGATACCGGGCTCATCTACGCGGTTTTTTTGCAAATGAAAGTGCAAACTTTTTTTCGTCGTAAAGCAAGACTGGCACATGGGGCAACCCACGCCGTCTAGGATGGGGATGCCTTCCACAGGCGCGCGCGGCCCAGACATTGTTCCGATATCTATTGCTGACTCCTCGGGCTGCAAGGAACGCATGAGTGCCGTGGCTGCGTCGATGTCTTCTTGGCTGCATCGTATATGATGCTTTTTAAGCAGGTGATTTGGCACGCTACCACCAAGCACGCGTTCGCAGGGCGTGCACACCAGAGACGCGGACGCGGGAGACACAAGGCAACCAATGTCGGTCATGAACATCCGAGCCCCGGCCACGCCATGCTGCTGATCAAACTTGACTGCACGCTTCTTTGTGCGAGAACATCCAAGTTTCCGACGGGATGGTCTGCTGTTCGCTTCTGCGTGTGTTCTTCGAATGTGGTTTCGCAGATATGCCGCTTGGTCGTGGCTGGAGGTGCAATTTGGAACAGGGCAGTGATACTTGCCGTCCGCTTGCCGCTCGACACCACACTTGACACCGTTCAGCGTCACGGTCGAGTTCTTTTGATGCATCTAGCTAGCACCACAGTCCTTCATGAGCATCCATGCGAGACCAGCTTAATAATAATATTATTATTATTTGACGGTCAATGAGCTTCACCAACTCACCTGGCGGCAGTGCTCATCTTTGGCGCCGCGGTTCGGAAAGGTGTCCCCACATTGGCGGCAAGAAAATTGCCCATTTTGTGCGTCGAGCTCAGTGTCCATCTCTAGCTAGTTTGCCTCGATTGGGATGAAATAATCGCGACGGGCTCGCGCTGCAGAAGACGCCAGGGGCACTGAATGGCGGGGCAGAGCGAGGCATCGAGAAATTGCAAAGCTCAACGGGCTGCGTCGCAAGCAAAAAAGAGTCGGACAAAAATTTAAAAAGAAAGAAGAAGAAGGAGAAGAACATTATTGGCTACTCTACTACGAAGGAAAACAGAGAAACTAGACAATGTACCACATGTAAAAAAGAATCAAAATTTTTTGCTGTATTTGGTTTAAGATGACTGACTGGCTATGACCTAAGCCTCACGTTCAGTAGCTGATCTACAGCAGAGGCAATGAGGCACTAAGATGGTGACTGTTTGAAGCGCCGAATTCAGGACTGGCTGGCTGGCTATCAACAACTGTATCTGCAGAGGGCAAGCCTATTTTCTGTGTGGCCTCTGCAAGCACGGGTTGCCGGCAGAACACTTAGATCTCCAAGTCTTCAAGAGCAAAATCGTAAATGTTGGCGACCTCGCTTGGCAAAGCAAGCAAGAGGACTCCTGGCTGGTTGGCATGACGCTCATAGGCAGTGGCACGGTGCCCTGTGGCCACCACATCTGCGGAGGCGATGTCGTACACAGGCATCGACCCGTTGCCATCAGCTTCATATACAGCCTGGCTTTGGTCAGGACCCTGTAAACCATTCGATAGTGTCAGTTGATCACAAGCTTGAGACAGCTGCGATGGGCAGGCATCAACCAGGGGACATACCTTACTCAGCTGGCCATTGAGCTCATTGCCGTAAAGCTCAATACCGTAAAGTTGACACTCGTGCATACCAGCGGCCATCTGTGCCTGACTGTCGCCGGCACTGCTCGCAGTTGCGCGCAGAACTGAAGACTCGCTTTGCTCGGCTGGGTCAGCAATCGCCTCGTACACCTCTTCGCAATCCACCTCGGGCCTTACTCCAACCCCATCGTTGTAGATAATCTCTTCGCGAATAGTTATGTAGCCGTGCTCATTATTGTCAAGCTCATCGTCGTGAAGTTGTCTCTCATACATGCCAGCATTCGTCAAAGCCTCACTGTCGCCTGTGCCGTCCGCAGTTAAACGCAGACTTGATACGCCGTCCTTTTTGGTCAAATCAACCACCGCTCCGTACACCTCTTCACTACATCCCACGGGCTCCGCATCAAAGCCATCGTCGTAGATAATCTGTTCTTGAGCGACCACACCATTGAGCTCATCGCCATGAGGATGGCTTTCATAAGCGTCAGCGCTGTTCAAAGCCCCACTGTGGCTCACACCAGCCGTGGCATCACCCTTCTCAATCAGATCAGCAACCGTCGCGTACAATTCTTCATTGTATACCGCGGGCTCCGCAGCAAAGTCATCGTCGTAGATAACCTCTTCGCAAACGATGATGCCGTTGAGCTCATCGCCTTGAAGCTGGCTCTCGTAGACGTCAGCGCCCATCCAGGCCCCATTGTCACTCACACTGGCCGTGGCGCCAGCTTCCTCGGTCGGATCAGCGACTGCCGAATACAGCTCTCCACTGCATCCCGCGAGCTCCGCATCCACCCCGTCGTCGTAAACAATCTCTTCACGAACGATCATGTCATCGAGCTCATTATCATAAAGCTCATCGCCTTGAAGCTGGCTCTCGTATACGTCAGCGCCCAGCCAGGCCCCACTGTTGCTCGCAGCAGTTGCAGCACGACCTGTCTTGATCAGATCACCAACAGTCGCGTACAATTCTTCGCTGAATACCGCATCAACCCCGTCGTCGTAAATAATCTCCTCGCGAGTGACCATGTCATTGAGCTCATTATCATAGAGCTCGTCAACGTGCAGTTGGCCTTCATACATGTCTGCGCCCATCCATGCCTCGGTGTCGTCCACATCATTTGCCGCTGCACGCAATCCCGAGGCCTCGCTCTCTTCGGACGGGCCAGCAATGGCCTCATAAAAGTTTTCGCTGTCCACCTCAGGTACCGTCGCTGAGAAGCTCTGTTCAAGGACGATATCCGCTAGCAAATCCACCAGCTCACTAAAACTGGGTCGGTCGCTTGCCTCAAGCACCCAACACATGCGCGCGATATCGTCGAACTCGACAGGCGCCTGACGCGGCGAGGGCAGACGATGGCCGCTTTCCAGAAAACTCAAAACATCCCGGTTCTGATGTTCCTTGTATGGCGTACCTCCAAGGGAGAAGATTTCCCACATGGTGACACCAAAGGACCACACTACAAGCACAAGGGGCATGAGGATAGCTGAGTAGGTGGCATCGCACCTGCCATCAAGTTCAGTTTGGGTCGGCAAGTATTCAAGCAGCACAAGCGCACCATCTGATTTAGTGGTGTAGATGCGGCTCTTTAAGCTTTCCGGGGCCATCCACTTGACGGGCAATTTTGTGGCCGTCGTTTTGTACTCGCCACCTTCAATGCTGCGTGCCAGGCCAAAATCGCTAATTTTGCACTCGAAGTTTTTGTCCACAAGGACCTAGAAAAATGTGGCACAGATGTATGGGTCGAGTCCAAGACCAAATAGATGAGAGACCGTTTCTTACTCTGGTGCCTCGTGCAGGCTTTGCGGCAAATGGAAGCAAGGTTTATTCAAACAACCAACAGTCCAATACTTGACGTTTGACGTACATTGCGGGCCGCGAGGTCGCGATGAATGACGTTTTTCTGCTCCAAAAAAGCCATGCCGCGGGCAATCTGGAGGCAAAAATCTGCCATCTGATCGACCCGAATTGTTTGAGGATTTTCCTGAGTTGCTCGACACCCGCGCAAGTAGTCGCGCATGTTTCCAAACTCAGCCAGCTCGACCAGCAGAATTTGTGGTGTTTCGCGCAGGCAGTGCCCAATGATGCCAATGACATTTGGATGAGCTCCAATCTCCTTCATCACCGTCATCTCCGACAAGAAGTCTTGGCGGTGTTCGAAAGAAACATCTGGTTTGAGGGTTTTGGCAGCGCATCGCCGCACCTTGCCGCTGTAGGAATTGCGAATCCAAGCTTGAAAAACTTCCCCAAAAGCTCCATGGCCGAGCTCTTCGCCTAGCCGCACGCACTGTCGGTCTACCTCCCAAACGTCTGCGTCTTGTACCTCCAGAAGGTCATAAGAGCCTTCAAATGCCGCGGGCATCACCACGAGCCCCTTTTTCTTGCGGCGAAGCAAAACGATGATGGAAACCACGATCAACAAGATGACACCGATCGCTGCTACGCTGATCACAATCGGGTTTGAGGCGTTGAAGAACACCTCTCCCTGACGAGATCCAAGACTACTGCTCACGTTGCAGTCAGTACCTGCAAACCCCTCGTCACACGTGCATGCGTACTCAGAGGTTGCTGGGTCCAAGTCCGGACTGGCAGCACCAGGCGTACAAGTGCCACGACCACTGCAACGACCGTTACAGGCGGCCTCCAGAATGGAGCATGTAGCACCGCTCAAGCCTGCAGGGCACAGACAGCGTGGGCCATACCGTGATACAACACACTCGCCGCCAAACTGGCACGGATTACGGTTGCAGTGGGTCTGACAGCCCACGCTGTTGATGCCAGTTTGTGCATCGCCCATGTAACCTGTAGCACATACACAGCTCATCACGTCATCATTGGGGCCGGTGACCGTGCAGTTGGAGTTTGGGGCAACGCACGGCTTGAAAAAGGCCACAGCAAGATTTTTTGGCGTTGCAAGCTCCGGGCTGTACACGGAGTGCTCAGCGCTACATATGTACGAGTCCGATACGCAGGCGCCATTGCCGTTCACATAGTAGCTGATATTCAACGCGGCGACAGCGGGCGGTGTCACACACGAGTTGGGATCAACACATGAATGAAGAACCGCGTTATATTGCGTCGAGTTGTCGTTGCACTCACATATGAACCCGCCATCTGTGTTGATGCAACTGGCATTCGGAGAGCAAGCGAATGAAGAGGCAACACACTCATCAATGTCCTGGCAGCCGGCACGGAGGGTGGCCCTGCTCTCGCGTGTGATCAGACTTTTGTTGTAGATGAAGCCGGCACCACAATTCTTGTCACGTTTGATGCAGTAGTACTCGGCAGTCAGCTCCTCTCCCACTGTACATGTGTCTGGAGCAAAGCAACCGCGCTCCGGGTCGTATATGTGGCCAGAATGAGGACACACGACAGCCTTCGTGCACACAGTCGACCCGTTGACAAGGCTTGAAGTGGCACCATTTGGGCAGCGTACGATACCCTCTTTGCTGACGCATGCGTCACCGACAACAACAAGATCATCTGGGCAAGTCAGCTCCGAGATAAGGCAAAGGCCATCTCGCAGGGAGGAACCGGCAGGGCATGCAGCACCACACAAGCTGCCTTTGCAGTTGGAACGACCAAAGAAGGTTGTCTCAACGTCGTACCAACCCAGATCCTGCAGCAGACCCGACAGGTTACCGGACGCAACGGTTTGCAGAGCACAGCAGCTGTTATCATGCTGAGCTGGGGTGACGCCCAGAGCCAGGGATGCAAGGGAAGTCGTGAAGGTCTGCTCCTGGATTGAGGAGAATACCACAGAAATGGGATCGCCCGGGACCAAGGCTGAAAGGGCTGCGCTCAATGCTTCTGTGAGATCGTGCGCCATTTGCGCAGCCACGGCGGCAGACACAGAGAATGTGTAAGCGGCGCCAACATTCACGAGGGGACACGACGTTGTGTTGGCTACTCCAGCTTTGGCAAAGCCGCTTGGGCAGGCCTGGCAGGTAGCGTTGGATAGAATAAAGTTGACATCGCAGGAACAATCGTGGTTCCCGAGCCCTGCGGTTGCCATGTATGGGCCGCAGGGCTGGCAGGTGGCTTCTGCGTGATTGTCCTGGGCTCGCGCCGTATTGAGGGGACAGGGCACACAGGAAGGGGGCAAGTCGCTAAAGTTTCTAGAAATTGTACAAGTGAGCCTAGCACTGCCACTCAGATAGGTCCCTGCGGGGCACGCAAACGCAACAATGTCTCCATATATTGCTGTGCTAGCGCTGGCAGTTGCATTCGAAAATGGAACAGCACCACACGACACGACGACCTGAACAAAACGTGTGACGGAGACTCTGTTGTCACTGCTGTCGGTGGCCGTGTATTCCACAGTCAGGACCGTGCCGTTGGGTACGTTGAGATCCAGCACAGTGGGCTCCACCGCCACGTCTGCGGCCACCATGGCATCATAGTTGTCCCAAATGCTAAAACCAGGCTCTGACCAAATGGAACCAGCCTCAACTGTCATGTTGATTCCTTGCACCAACGTAATTGTCTGGGAGAAGGCGTGAAGTTTGAAAGCGCAAGTGTCGTTAGTGCGAGGATCGACATTTCTAACAATGTGTGCGCCTCGATAGTGATGTTGGTTTTTGTTGGACCGCAGGGCACTTACGGGAGGGGTCGTATCAACGACGTTGACGGTGCGCCAAACAGGGGGGGCCGATAGACCTTGGGAATCGGGAGTGCGCATGAAGTACATGACGAGGTAGGAACCAAAGGTGTGAATGTCCAGGGCACTTGTATTGCTGATGAGAGTATCGTTGAGGTTGCCGGGTTCGCCCTCATCAATGACGTAGCCCATGGGGTCGACGAACGGGGTGTGCACTTCGTGTGGCATGACAATGGGGCCAAGAAGCACGATGACGGGCACTCGGGCTGCAAAAATGGTAATTTGAACAACCAAAGTCCCTACGTTCCCTGAACTGTCCTTGCCAGAGTAGGTCACATCATACGAGTTGGGTGTGTCTGAGGATTCGACGAAAGATTACGAGAAAGGCATGTGGGTGGGCACCGGCATGTGAGCTATTTGTTTTCCAAGGTCAGCAGGTTTGATGCAAGAATAGCTCAAGGCCAGCTGCAGCGAGATGGACGAAATGGGCAGAAGGCAAGGTGCAAACGAGCACAAAAGCAGAGCAAAGAAGGGGCGGGGTGCACCTGGATGGACATTGTTCGTGTGCGTGACGGTAATTGTTTCGCCGGTTGTATCTGTGGCTGTCACAGTGGGATAGGCAAAAGTATCGGTCTGGGCCTCAAATTGCAAGATGGCGTTGGCGACGAGTGTCAACTCCGGTGGCGTCACGTCTGTCCAGAACAAAAAAAACCTCACATGAGCTGAACTGATGCAGCAGCAGCTGTGGGAATACCTTGAGGCGCCTGCTTGGCGCCTCAAGGGGCACAATCTGGTGTCGGTGGAGTGTCAAGGAGCAGGTTGGCTGCTGGTGGTTGATATGATCTGACCGTAACATTTCGAGAAATGATGCGAGCTCTCCGGCCGTATGGTGCCTAATTTAAAGGACCATTGAGCAAGGGGCAAAAATGAGCGACAATCGTTGTGTCTTATTAGACAGGTTGACGACCGGGCACCAAGGCAGGTGTGCGGAGCTTGCGTACCGGGAGGGCAGCGACTGCAATTATAGTCCGAAACCAATGAGTCTGCGTTGTTTGCATACTCGCCGACTCCGCAGGTGTTAACTTTTCGTGCGCACTGAACATTCAAGCCCTGGCTGGGCTGATATGAATCTGGCACGAGAAGAGCAGAACGTCAACGAACAGACGCCAAGAGCAGCGGACACTAGTTGGCGGTATTCGCCTGCCCGGCAGACCATGAAATGCTTGCTCAGGGCAGAGAAGGAGATCAAGTGGTGCGCACCTCGGCTGCAGGCGACACAGATATTATCAGCTTTGTTGTCGTTCGGATTTGATACCTCCTGCCCAGGGGAACACACGACGGATTTTGGATAGCACTGCCGGGCTGTGTTATCCTTGATATCCATCCAAGTGCCTGGGGATGGAGATACGGTAAGCCAAAGAGTTTGAGATGAGGGGTTACCATCGTCAAGCACAAAATTGTACAGCGAGATGAGAAATGGCTGGCAACATACCTTTGGCGCACTTGGAGCATACGCGATTTTTTGTGGTCCCACCATCGCTTGAGATGTAGTATCCAATGGAGCACGAGCTCCTCTTTGGCTTGCAAGAAGTTGACAAGTGGTTTGAAGCATCTTGATACGAGCTTGACGGGCAAGTACGACAATTGGTGTTTGCTGAATTGCTGAAGATGGCCCAAGCAAATGCAATGGAGCACGATATGACATGATACAAAGTGGTAAACTTCGAACACATGGCAGCAGAAGACGGGAGACACGGACCTGCCGCCATTGGCGTCATAGGTGCCTGCGGAACAATAGGTCTTTGACTTGCATGAAGTGGAAAGATGCGAGGAGCTATCTTGGTATTTGCCTGATGGCGTGCGCACAAAAATGCGATTCAAATTGGTGTGACCGTGGCGCAGGGAGAAAGGCCCGAGAGTTGAGGCCAGCAAGTCCGTGAAGAGGAAAGCGGCATAGCAAGCGTACCACTCTCACAGCTCACACATTTCACTGTTTTGTGATAGGTGCCTTTACCGCAGGTGCCTATGGGCAAGATGTACAGGTGGGCAAAGAAATTGACAGATTTTCTTTTCTCGCTCGATGCGCCCAGAACGGCCGTTGATAGGTGGCAGATGCAAGAAAGATGCGGGAGCTCATACTGCAGACATCATTGACGGTGTTTTTTCCCGACGAGCAGCCTAAAAGCAAGCAGAAGTGATTGCCAGTCCAAGGATATTAGCACAGAGAAAGAGAGCACAAACGATCACAAATTCCTCAGAATTTGGCACATGGGAGGCCCTCGAAAGTTGAGCGACCAGGCACGCACTGTTGCATAAGCCAGACCCGCTACCCCATCCTTTGGGACAGCGACAAGTACTGTCGCACCTGACGTCTATTCATGCAGAAGAGAGGAAAAAAAGCCCCCCCCCCCCCCCCCCGAAAAAAATGGCCCCCAACCCGTGAGAACCAACGAGCGGACGAGCACATGGGGGCAGGCTGAACAAGTACGCACGGCAAGAGTCATCACAACTGCTGTCGCAGCGCCCCGCATCCCACGCATCACATTTGTCGCTGTAACATGCCGCTTGGTGAGCTGGGTGTCAAGCAAACAGGCCCACCCATTGTGTAGGAGGAAGCGAAAAACGAACCAGCCGGCGTCGCAATAGCGTGTGCAGCTGCCGCATCCTTCGCCACTGTAAGCGTAATCTGAAGCACGGCGCTAAAACATTTTTGGCGTTGTCAGGCGCCATGGCAAGAACCATGACAAATGGTTGGCGATGGTTGACAGGGGAGTGTGATGAGCTACCCTGAACTGACTTTGCGCGTTATGGAGTCGTCATTGGAGGCTGGTCGGGCGATGAGTTCGGCAAGGCGCGTGGAGGGGAGCGTGTATTCTGATGCAGTGAGTTGGTTGGGCAGAACGGGCGCCACGTGCACGTCTTTGAAGCGAAAATTGAGCCACCGGAACCCCAGGTCGGCTCGAAGAAGCTGCTCCTTCAGCTCGTTGCAAGCTCGCGTGGTCGCTGTGCGGCTGCACTCGTCGACCACCAAATCAATCCAAGTGGCGGAGGGCGGTATAACTTGATAGGTGGCGTGGGCACTAAGGCCGGTCGTGTTGGCTCGGGCAAAATGGACGACGCCGCGTGGAATGTAGAGCAGCTCATTCTCCTGCAAATCCAAGGTGCGACATTCCATACCAGCAAGCTGTTCGTCGGTGTAGGAGGTGCAACCTTGAGCGGGCGCAGCAAAGTTATGTGCACAAGGGTGAGGGGGCGCAGTTTATGCTGAATCATCTTGCGTAAAGAGCGACGCTGCCCTTCCCCTGACAACCCCCCCCCCCCCCCCCCCCAAAAAAAAAAAAACAATCGGAGGCCAAGCACGTTGAGCGGACCCCGGGCTTCAACTGGCGACAAACCTTCAAAGGCCGACTTGGCCAGTTCAGCACGGAGAGCACGATCTGCAAAGGTACAGTTCGTGCAGTCGGGCGCCTTGGGCGCGCAGAGGGTCCAGAGCTTGCTGCCGGCCCACTGGTGCACAAAGACATCACCACCATCGGTATGCGGGCTCAGGGCGCGCTGGCTGGGCGGTGAGATGTAAAAGTGGTCTGAGATGACCACTCCCAGATGGTCTTGAATCTGCCGAGAAATGTCGTTGCTGACGGTAAAGGCGTGCATGGATGAGGACAAGGAGGGGTCTTGTTCAGGTTTAATCACGAGCGAGTAGCCAGCTGTCAGCAGACTGTCCACAGTTGCGACGGTTTCATCGATCGAGTCCAAAACCACAACCTCGCCGGCGCTGTCGCGCAGCGAGACGACGCCAGCCTCAAGAAGCTGACCCATTGTCTGATCGAGTTGCTTGTGCAGGAGCGGCCAGTCGGCATATTCGGGAAGGGTGGATACGATGGCAGTGTCAATCTGTAGCATGGGGTCGACCGAAATGATGGGGCTGGCCCCAGCTTCCGACAGTGCATGTAGTGCGCTGGCGGCAGCCATGTCGATGGGCACGGCGTGCGTTATAGCAGCCAGAATCCACAGACTTGTGGCCGCCACAGCTTGTGCGCGTCCGATCATGGGGCCGGTGCTGGTGCGGAGCCGTTTACAAATCTTGCAAACACTGCCGGGCCGCTGCTGCAGAGAAATTCGCCTCACCACCTTTGCAGCAGAACATGAAGTAGACGAGACGGCTTGAGTGTTGGATCACCAACCATGCTTGTTGTTTTCGTCGGACTCGTGTCCCAAATGTAGACTGTAACACACTTTTCTACTTAGTCCGCCCACTCGGCTTGTAACAGTGACACGCTCGATCACGTGTGCCTTGTGCCAACGTTCTGATAGGACTCTTTCAAATGCTTTCGTTCGTTGTCAACAACGCCCATGGACTGCTTTGACGACAGGTCTGGCAAAAAAAAAAAGTGGCCATGGCACTGCGACACGTTACAGGCCACCATGGTTGGCGGGTCTCATCCTCGATTCATTCACAACTCGTTTTCCTCTGCGTTGGCAGGCCCCGCTCAGGCGACGACCCCACGAAGGTGCGCAAGATCACTCTGAGTCTAAGCCCTTCAACCAGCAGTCATAGGTTTAATAACAAAAAGGCTCTTGGTATGCTGATGTAAAAGCTGACAACCTGATACAGAACGACTGGCAAAAAAAAATAAGAGAGGCCAACAGCACCATGTATTCCCATCTGGTCACCCACGATAGTACTAGCATGGCCCAACATGGCTTAACTGCGGCGATCGGACGAGAGCCGGTGTATTCCATGTGGTATGACCGTTGGCGATCACTTGAGGTATAGTAAAGTATATAAAGTCAAACTTGATCATGATTAGGATTGACACCTTGAAGCAATGTTTGCACGACTCTTCGTTCTGCTCGTGTGAGCGTCCTTAAGAACGACTGTCATGAACATGACATTGTCGTCGCAACCTGGCCATCATGCGCGTGCTCGCATCTGGACGTACACGCCGCCGCCACGATGCAGGCAGAAGGTTTAATGATATGTGAGAGTGAAAGTGAGGATGTTATTCGATTAAGGAAGTAAAACAAAGAAAAGTTTCCTTGCAGATCAGTTCAGATACAGAGGCTTTAATATGCCTGTTTGCTTAGTGGGTGTCGACGGCTGGGCCATAGAGTTCATGTCGGATTCGACCGTCAGGAATGCCTTGTGAGCGCAACTCCTTGACTGTGTCGACCACAAAGTCGCGGGGACCGCACAGGAAGAAGGTGGCGTCATCCCAAAGGTTATTGCTTTGGCAAGCAGCGGCAATGTCAGCTGGCTGGAGAGGCGCTGCGGCCGAGGCAACCTGCGTCACTTCGGGACGGGCAGCTGCGATCTCATCGGCAAAGATTTGCTCGTGGCCGGGGGCGGGGTTGTAGAAAAATCCGGTGCGCTTGCCAGCAGCCGCCGCCGCCGGCATCATGGCCATCATGGGTGTGATGCCGTTTCGGGCAGAGATGAAGACCTCAGTGCCCGTCGTGACACCGTCACGTGTAAAGATACCAAAGGGTGGTCGAACGTTGATGACACTGCCGACGGCAATGTGTTCGTGGAGCCAGTTGGAGACCTTGCCCTGAGGCGCACCGGCGTCACGGGCGAGGGCTCGTTGAACGGTGACGCGCACGCCATCGGATCCAGAGGCAGCTTGTGAGACGGTGTAGTGGCGGGGCGCCGTCACCGCTTCGTCCGTGTCGAGGCACAACGTCAAGAACTGGCCAGGCTTGAAGGCAGGGGGCTGCGTGCCATCAGCGGGCTTGAGATAAAAGGAGGCAAAATCGGGGGCCTCTTCCACAATGCGGCTGACTTCAAAGGCCTTGGTCTGGCGGGCGTCCCAGTTGTCGAGGGCAGCGGTAGCTTGGTCGTAAATGTTGGCTTCCAGCTCGATGCAGGCCTGGGCCACGTGCATCACCACCTCAGACCAAGCGGCACCAATCTCCGGGGTAACAGCGTCGCCCAGAACCTCGGCGACGGCACCCATAAAGTTGTCGTGAACAATGCCATAATGCTCGGGCAAGACCCCCAAGGCACAATGCTTGTGAGCAATCAAGTCGAGGGCAGGGGCGATGGCGGCCAGGTTGTTGATGTGTCCGACAGCAGCCACAATCGAGTTGGCCAGGGCCTGGGGCTGGCGCTTTTGACGTTGGTTGGCCATGTTGAAGAAGGCCTTGACCTCGGGATTGTTGGCAAACATGCGTGGATAGAACGTGGAGGTGATGGTTTGAATGTTGGCGGCCACGACTGGAGCAGTGGCCTCGACAATCTTCATCGTGGAAGCGGAAACGCTAGAGTGCAAAGCACTCGTGGCTGCTTTTGCGGCTGCCATGGCGCTGGAGACGAACAATACTTGGAAGAAGCGTCGGACCGAGCTCGGCTCCACAGGAGATGGCTGCGAGCTGGGCTAGATGAAAAATGGCACTGTTCAGGAATCGATGCGAACAAGAATCAGTCGGGGCTCCAGGCCAGGGCACGTAGGGTAGCTACAGTCCTGACGCGGCGCATCATCGGGGGTGGGGGGGGGCGAGGCAGGGCCCTATCTTGCATGGTGGCCCACTCTGCCACGCAAGCCCGATTCCAAAAGGACTTTGCTCCTTTGCCATTCAACGCTCTTTCGTCACACACCATCGCACACCATCGCACACCATCGCACACCCTTAGCCCAGCCATGACACATGATACGAGCACGAGGCACGAGGTACGCGATACACCCAATCCGGCCAATCCCTCGAGTGATTACATCATCCCACGCCCTAAGCTAGAAAAACGTCTGAAGCACGTCTTTCGTCAGTGACAGAGGTTTTGGTCGCCCCCATGCAATACTCAATTTCAATATAACATCCCTTAAATAAAGAATTGCTAAAGTAAGTTAATTGACACACTATCGCAGCGAGCGGGTCTGTTGATGTTTTTTCAAAAGGTCAGTCAGTGCAAACAGCTCGTGCTCAGTGGCAACGGGGCAGGTCAGTGGCAGTGCCGAAGCATGGGTGTGCAGTAGTGGCAGGGGCAGTGACGAGTGTGTCGGGGTGCATGTGTGTAAATGTGTCTCAGCGTTTGGTTGTGGCGGGCACTTTTTCTTTTGGTCTGTCGGCGCTTGATCCCGATCTCGTTTGTGCGTTGTGTGAGTCCTCCTTTCATGTTGGCTTGAATGGCGCGATCGTGGGTGTGCCATAGAATTGTAATCGGTGCCACTTGGAATGATGCGCTCAAACGCGGTCGGCCATGGCATGGCCCTGGCCGTGGGCATATTTCTGTCCCTCTCGCTCCATGTGCTTGCCGATGAAGTGGATCTGGGCAACGTGCGTGTGCAGGCGCTCTCTCCCACTTTGGTGCGAGTCGAGCCCAAAGGTCCCATGGGGTACTACAATGACACGTCCATGAGCGTGGTCAATCGTGATTTCGCCGGCGTTCCCATTGAGCCAGTAACGCAGACCAACGGAGCCTATCTGGTCAAGACAGCGTATTACACCGTGGTCGTCAACATCTCCAACACCCCACCAACACCCCAGCCCCTGTGCTCGGGCCTCAAAGGCTACGACATTCAAGATGGCGTCCGCGTCCCCGACCATCCCGATGGCATAGCAGCCACCACAGTCGAGGAATGCTGCACTGCCTGCGGGCAGGATCCGGTTGGTGCTTTGCTTATGACAATCCGATGGGTGGTTGCTATTAAAACCATGAATAGGGAAGGGTTTGAGAAATTTTTTTTTTTTTTTTTTTTTTCCTTCTGTTCAAAAAAATGTTGTTTGCACCTTGCTCATCCGCCGCTCCGCCCAAACGGCTCTCATCACCGCTTTGGGGTCGTTGTAATCCAGGACTGTACGGTATGGATTCTTGACTCGGATGGCAAGATGTGCTACCTGATGCAGTCAACCACGGGCATCAAGCCGGCCAATCGCATCCTCGGCGGCAACTTCACCGCTCTCAACAGTGGCGTCGTTGTCACCATTCTCGCCCCAAATGGCACAGTCTTGTATGGCCCCACCGATTCGGGACTGGTCAGCAACGCCATGGCTTTCCCCGCTCCTCAAACCGACGCCATCTTTGCCGTTGCCGACTTTCCGCGCTTCTACGTCCCTTCCTGGGGTTTGTTCAACGCCCCAAATGTCCTACCCTCGGCTCTTTGCTTGATTGTCGCCTCTTTATCTCACACCACAGAGGCTCTTCCCCTCCCCTCACGCTTTTGGTTTGCTGTTCTTTGGGCGTAGGACCTATGCCCGCTCCCGAGGACGCTCCCATGGACCCAGCGACAATCGCCACCAACGGCTATGACTTTCGAAACAATGTTGCAGGCGACACCTACTATTTTTTGCTTGGCGCGTCCGTCGATGACTACCACCATGCGCGCCGCGAGGTTCTCCAGCTGACGGGACCAACCCCCCTTCTGCCCGACTTTTCGTTTGGCACCTGGTTCACTTACTGGCACAGCTACACCCAATCGGAGGCTGAAGGTGAGGTGAATCGTTGGATCAACGACTCTCTTCCCATTGACGTGTGGGCCCTCGACATGAACTGGCGGTATGTGGTTCTTTCCGGCTGGATCATACCTTGTATCTACCCGTGGACTTGTGGACTCCTCGCGTCCAGTCTCCCATGAGAAGGTGCACTCCAGAGTATGATTCATTTGGTAATTTGTTTTTCTCTTGATCCTGGCATTCTTTTTCCCAGCACCACCAACGCCAACACGGACCACTACTGTGCGTTTGACCGCGTTTGCGCGTTGCTCGCTCCTGGTCGTACGCGTGCCCACTCAGCTGCGACGTTGCTGCGCTTACCTGTCCCGCTCACTAGACGACAACCCCAACACGGACCTCTTCCCCAGCTTTGATGACTGGTTCAAGTTTCTGGAGGATCGCAAGCTGCGGTGCGTGGTCTGGCGCGTTGCCACACTTGCTTTGTTCAAAACCACGCTAAAGACTGACTCCCTATCCTCTTTTTACCACATTAGCACTTACTTCAACGACCATCCTTACCCACAAGCCCGTACGTGTTCTTGAATGCATGCGTTGAAACGACCCCCTGATCAGCCCGTTGGCATTTCCCAAAGATTTCTTTTTCTTTTCTTTTTTTTTTCTTTTTTTCTTTTTTTTTATTATTTTGAAACGCTCTCAATCGCTGGGCCTTTGAACGCTTGTTTTTGCACTTTGACAGCTCAAACTTCAGCCGAAGAGGTTGCATTTCGATGGGAGGGCCTTACCAGCTGGCTCTCGCGTGGATTGACCTATTGGTTTGTCGATAAAGCTCTTCAAAGCCGATGCCACACCGACGACTCGCTTGTCGCCATGTCCTCATGCGTCTTACTGTCGGGTCGCATCAGGTGGTTTGATGCCAACTGGAAATTCTCAATTCCACCACCGAATGTCCTTGGTGCGTATATTCAAGGCCAACATGCTTTGGGACAATTATCGTTTGCTTTTGGCTTTTTCCATACTGTTGCATTGGGATATGGGTGCATGATTGTTTCCTTGAGCGTGCACGCGTATCAGTGGAAGCCCCAAGGCTTGGCGGTTGCTCACTTGGCACGATGTGGCAGGCAATACAACGGGACTGGCGTGGGACGGCTACGTACGCGTTTGCTGTGAATTATGCGTGCCTGTGGCGCTGTTTTTTTTGTTTTTTTTTTTGTTTTTTTTTTATGTTTTTCGCATCAAAGGCGACAAAGCCAGCTCGCTGGATGGCCAGGACTAGCCCCTCACTGCTTTTTTTCTTTTTTTCTTTTTTTTTCACAGACAAATGTGGCTTGGGCCTCGCACATCTACTACACCACTGTTCAGTTGTACAATGAAATGTATCGCGACCCCTCATTCCCAGCCCCCATCATTCTCAACAAGTATGCACGGGACAATAATGTGCCCGGTGACATTCAGCACGAGCACGCTAGCCACCATCGCTACCCCGTGGTACGCCAAATCATGTCTGAGGGTAAAGCGTTTCTGGGTGTGTCCTCTAGTCCTCTAACACGGTTGCCCGTCTTGTTGTGTGTGGCGTTTGCCAATGCCTGTGGGTTTCTCGACGCCGCCAGTGGTGGACGGGCGATGGCGTGCCACTGCAGGCAAGCGTGCAGAGCATGGTCAATGCTGGTGTCTACGATCTCAAGCCGTATCTTCACTCGGACTGCGGTGGTGACTACCGTGGCTCTGCAGGGGACCTGATGCGCTGGGTGTCCCATTGCGCCTTTGGGACCATCTTGCGGCTGCATGGCAGCCCGCATCAGCCTTGGAGCTATGACAATCATACTGAGAATGTGTTGCGCTCCTACTTTGACATGCGGTGCGTGCGGCCCTGTCTTTGAAAAGCCAAGCGGGTCGATCTTGCGTGTGGCTATGGATGCTCATATGAACCATGCGTCGACTTGTCGTAATTTCGGATCGCACGCATCCGATTTGCTTGACAGATACAAGCTGATCCCATCCCTCGTGACGGCTGGAGCCCTGGCCACGGCGACGGGCTTTCCTCTTGTGGTTCGCGGCGACCTGTTTTGGCCAGAGCACGGCGCCTTGGCTGCCTCGGACGAGCAGTATTTCTTCCTGAATGACACTCTGGTCGCGCCCATTTGGAACTCGACGCTCAACACGACGACGCGTGCAGTGTGGATTCCACCTGGCACCTGGATTGAGGCCTGGACAGGAGCGCAGGTTTCGGGCCCTTTGGTGCGTTCTATGGGATAGAAGGAGAAGAAAAACATGACCAACGTTTTGATGCAAGAGACGGTCTCCTGACATGATATGTTAACTCTGTGGTCCCCTCCCTTCTCCCCCTTTCCCCCTTTCTTTTTGTCGTGTTCTAGAGCACGACGGTGAGCAAACCATACGAGCAAATTCCCATGTGGCACAAGTCGGACAGCGTTGCGTTGATGACTGCCACGCCTGGGGTGCGTGCCGAAGGCCAAGACTGGTCAACGCTCGTGCTGGAAGTATTCGTGAGCGGCAAACAGGTGCAACTGTCCCGCCCCTATTTTGACCGCGAGCGTCAACAGCTCATGAACATTGCCGTCGAGGTCAAGGCCGGTCAGCTGCATGTCAGCGTGGGTGAATTGCGTGATCATGGCGTCAGTAGCGCCTTTGTGGTGCGTGTGCATACGCGACCCAACGCAAGCCTAGTTGTGGCGCCGCACCTCGCTCAAAATGAATTGGAGCAACCCTTGAACGTGCGTGTCTTGGCGCCAAAGGCATGTGACGAGGCTCATCAGCCTTTTGCCGGTTCGGGTGCCCGCCCCGCGTGTCGCGAGGGCGACCTGATCGAGGTCGAGCTCCCCGCCACGGCACGCACGTTGCAGTTGACCTTGTGAGGCTTTCCTCATCTGCACGTTGGTGTCATCACAGCCTGAATTGAAGGCTTACGCGCATACCCAACGCCCTGCCAGTCATTTCCCCTACAGTCCCGCCATGCCATGCATATGATCCACTTTTGATCAACACACACACACACACACACACAAAACCACAACATCTTGTCGACAACAAACCATGAAGAAACGGCTTGAGACTGCTTTTTTTGAAGATCGATGTCAGATGTTTTTTCCCAAAGGGCAACGGTTAATTTTTATTTTATTTTTTTCCTGCGACGTTTTAAGATCCATCGACGACAGTGCAGCGCGAGGTGGTGGTGACGGCGTGGTCCCGGTGCGTGCGGAGAAGAGCAGTGTTGAAGGCGCTACGATCCAATTACTTCTCTGCCTGTTGGTCTGGGCGCGAGTCTGACAGGTGCAGGGGTGCGGGCACGCCTGGATTGACGTCATGGCGTTTGATGGGCTGCGCGCGTGGCTCAGCTCTTCGGTCGAGGAGGGGCTTGCACAGATTTGGGGTGCGTCTGGCGTTGTCTCCTGGCATTACTCTTTTTGTGTCTCACATGAAGTACTGTGCCACATCTTGTTTGGTCATGGTTGGCGTGCAAATGCAAATGCATTTGGAACTGGGCTGCGACACCTCACCACACGGGTGCGCTCTGCTTTTTAGTGGAGAATGGTGGTGACCTGACCACCGAGCCAAAAGAGGCAGACTACCTTTTTTCCAGCGATGCCATGGCATCGGACACACTCGAGTGAGTCAAGAGGCAAACTGATGCTCTCTATGGTCAGGTGTTGGTGCCACAGCGAGACAACGACGGATCGCAACGCATGGAACTCAACTCAATCTCTCGGTGTGTGTTGGACGCGCGGGTTGATAGGCTCTTTCAGACCCCCGAGTTTCAAGAAGGCACGGTCATGCTATTTCGTCCTGATCTTGTCAAAGCCTTTTTGGCTAGCCAAGGGGCCAGCAGTGACGGGCGTGTCGAAGCGCTTGCCTTTGAACTTCGCCCGAATGAGGTGTGCATGTCAACTCGCTGTCCGAATCCAAGAGCTGCTTCGAGACTCCTCTTTGCTGAACCGCAAATGCCCCGCTCAAACGTGTATTGGTGCTGTACTAGGACTGGTATCGTCAACTCTTGATGGGACCCGCGCCTCAACCACCCAGCAGCAACGAACCGGCGACATCCCCAGCGGGTGGGGTTAGTGAGAAGCCGGAGGAACCGACGGCAACCGGAGCTCCGGCCAGCGCTCTTGATGTGAGTTGCGTGTGCCTTTGGTGCTCTCTCTCCCTCCCTCTCCCTCTCTCTCTTTTATGGACGCTCGCGCTTGCTCATCCTGGCCTGTGTCTCAAGGAGGAGGCGAGTATGGTTGCAAGCCTACTGTCAGCGGCAGTGCCGGTCGGACAAATCAAAGCATTGGAAGGCGTGCGAACGCACATGTTTTTGCTGGATCCACGCCAGTACGAAGTCATCATGACCTGATGTCTTTGACTGCCGACCGGGACATAGGGCGTCCAAGCATAACGCCATCGGTCGGGGCATTCCGATGCTGGAGCACATGGCTATCGACTTGTCAGTCATAATTGAATCAATTGATGGATGCAACTCAGTCAGGCATATTACCAGAACCGGCAGACGATATTCACAAACTTAACCGCCCCCGGGGCTCGGTGTATGAACTTTGCATTGCTCTTCCGATATAACAAGTCAAGCCTCAACAGTTGAATGCGATAAGCCATTTTTTGTTTTTGTTTTTGTTTTTGTTTTTGTATTTGTATTTGTTTTTCAGAGCTGTCCGAGGCCACGATCAAATCCCATTTAACGGTCGTCAATTCATGACAAGCGCGGATGGGGGCTTGACGAGAGTTGGCGCCAAGCCGCGTCGACACAAAGCTAAATACCATTCAACCACTGGTCGTCTCAGATGGCCAGCGGACGTGACTCGTAGCTAATACAACACAGACAGCTGGCCGTTGTCGTTCCCCACCAAGGCGGCTCGATGGTCGGCTAGATAGGCCAACGACTGCACTGATCCCTGCACAAGGGTTTTGAGGCGATGCGTCTTGCTCTCCGACTGCTCCCAATCAGCCCATTGGTTGATGACGGCTAGCCGATTATTGCTCTGCAGCATCAACAAATCGTTTTGCTTGGCAAACGCAAAATCTACCACCTCACTGGCCAATGGTAAATCCCTGGCTCCCACCTGCCCATCGAGCTGCAAGCGATGCAGCCGGTGGCCCTGCAGGTACAGAGCCGTGTTTCCTTGACCTGCGGCAAAGCGAGCTTTGCTCAGATCCCCCGTGTGCGGCAGCACCCAGCTGGCGCGTACGTAGCCAACACGCGTGTCCAGGAGCGCCAAGCGGCCTGCCCCAATCCCCACCATGACGTCGTGCTCTACAACGTCGAGGTCGGCAATCGACCATCGTTCTTGCCCCGGCGCCGAACCTGCGCTCAGGGCACTGAGGCGGCCTGTTGCAAAAGCGTGCCACTGCTGTACCACCATGCTGGGGGTGCGTACGTCCAGCACGTTGATAAGGCCGTCATTGGCCCCAGCAAAGAGCACCGCCTGCTCGACGCCTCCGCGGACGGTCACGTAACCATTTTTGCCGTGCTGCGCCTTGTGCTCACACACGCCCGAGCGAACGTCCCAGATGTGCACGCTGCCGTCACAACTTGCAGCCTTGTAGCGCCCAGGGACGGTGGTCGCCGCCAATATGGGCCGCTGATGATTGGCATACACTAGCGCGCAGCGCCCGTCACGAATCGATGGTTCCCACGACAAGTCATGTTGCAGGTGCTCGAGCGTCCAGACGCGTAGCGTACGGTCCCGGCTGCCGGACATGAACGCTGCATTGTTGAACCCCAAGGGGACAAGCGTGCGCACCGCGCCCGTGTGTCCACGGTACTGTTGTAGAACCTGGCCCTGCAGTTGATACGGCTGGCGCCACGACCCCGATTGGTTGAGGTAGAGCTGCCAATATTTGAGCCAAGCCAAGAAGAACTGATCCTGCGCGCGCGCATCCAGAGCGCTACTCGTGCTGGTTCGAGCGCTTGGTGTCAGGTTTGCCGTGCCGGTGCTCGCCATTTTAGATCCATCCGCCACGTTGCTCGTGGATGCCACGGCCACGTCGCTCAAGTCCACCTGGTCATACTCAAGGATAAAGTCGCTCGACTCGTTGTCATTTGATGAAACACTGCTTAACAAATGACGGGCTGGCAATGATACTCGCCGCGCGGCAGTCGCCTTGATAGTCGGGTATTCACTAAGGCGATGCTCTTCGCGTGCTTCGCCGTCTGTGACATTGTTGTAGGTAACTTCTTCGGCAAATCCGCGCAGCGTCTGCGTGTGAATATCTCCAAGGCGAGGATATATAATCTCCTCCAGGGCCACCAATTTTGGAATTTTGTTGCGTACGTTGATCTGTCCCAAAATGCGACAGGCGTGATTGTACGCATAGGTGCAGATTTCCTCATCGAACAGTTGCCGAAGATAGCCCATGTCCCCAGCATCTTGCTGTGTGACCATCTCATCTGGTAGCAAGCTGATGTAGCAGTAGGAGAAAAAAGTTTGAAAACAAGGTAGCACAATGCTGAGTGCGGTGTCTCGAGACATGCGGCGGCCGAGCTGGATGCCCAAGTCAACGGCGCGCCAAAGCAGCGCCCGTCGCTCCGTGTCCTCAAGTTTGTGCGAGGCAGATGCACAGATTTGCAGCGCCGCCCGCACGATGCGATCTGTGATTTGGTGGGCATGCTCGAGAACCATCGCATCCGGCATGAGCTGCAACAAGTGATGGAAGATGGTCAGGAGGTTGTGCACGTCACAAAAGACGCGATTGGTTCCCTGCGCCCCACAATGCAAGCGCATGACAAGTTGGGTAAATACAAAGCGCCACAAGAACCAATAGCAGGCCTCTCCACTGTCCATGTGCAGTAGAGTGGGCGCTTGGCAAGAACAGTCCGGGGAAGCCTTACCCGTGAGGCCGTCAAAAGTTGGTCCAAACGACTTGTGATGGTCGTCAAAAGAAATTGATCAATCAGCGACACACCGAAAGTGGCCACGATCAAAGCCATGCACTACGATAAACGCCGGCGCCAGGGTGAGACAAAGGGTTCATTGAGCGCCAAGATGGGGGTGTTTTGACTCTTGATGCATAGACGGTGCCTAAGCGTTCAAAAGATTGTGGCGACCAGAGCTTGTGACTCACCTGGGGCATGTGGTTCGGCACAGAGCGATGCCCACAACGAAAGATGGGAGTGATCAAATCACGAGCCACCACGGCAGGAGTCATCAGAGGCAAGGTCTGTTCGAGCGCTGTGAAGGCTGCTTTTTGCATTGTGAGGCTATCAAAGTGAACGGCATGGCAATATAACTGAAGAGTGAGCTTTTGCACGAGATGATCAAGCGCACAGCCGCATGAAACTTGCCTGGAATGCGCCAAGAGTTCGAGAATGTGAGGCAGGAGCACATCGACAACAGTGCTCACACCCAAGGCGTCGGCGCATGCGCTCATATGGGCGAGTAGAATAGGGGCAAGCTGTTCGTCCCCTTGCTGCAACAAAAAAAAAAAAAAAAAAAAAAAAAAAAAGTGATGCGAGCAGCGGTCAGTCAGTTGGTCCGTACAAGTCAGGGGCCAATTGTCAACAAGTCATAAAGTCTCATCCATCGGGCACACACCTCAATTGGATGTTGTATGACGGGTCCAAAGGTGTCGTAGAGAATGGAGTGCGGTAGTAGCCGCGCCATGGCGGGCAGCAGACGCAGGCTCTGCCGCACGCTGCCCACGTCCTCAAACCCCTATGTCACGTTGACGCATCATCAGATCACATCCACATGATCTTTCAAAAAAATTAAAGACTCTTACCTGCTTGAAATATGGCAGGAGCATTTCCAAGCCCTCCATTGGGAGATTGCTGATGGTATCCATTTCACTAACCCAGTGTGTTGGCCAACAACCAAACGCAGCCGAAACGTGAGAAATGAAGATCTGCTGATTTACAGTGTGCACGACCGCGATAACCACCAATCATGCTCAGTGTCAAGTCCGAACCCACCTCGAAAAGATGCGAAGCATGTCTTGCTTCGTTTGGGCATCCTCCAGCTGGGCACAGACGCCGGTCGTCATGATGAATCCATCTGGATACACGATACCGTAGGGGTGGTGCAGGCCCCGGGCTAAATCCCGCGCCCGCAGCTGACGCTGGTCTTGACTGGCTAGCAGATGCAGGATGCCTGGCGATAAAAAAAAAAAAAATCCATCAGCAAACGACACATGGTTTATGTTTTGAAAGCAGGCGTTCTTTGGAGACAATCAATCAAACTTACAAGTTCGCGTGCCCGGCAAAAGAGCCTGCTGATGTTCTGCAATCAACTGCCCGACCAGAGCGGTCAATGTCAGCAGTGGAGCGGATTCGCATTGAGTGAGCATTTGCTGGCCAAACAATGGCCCGCATGCAATGCGGGACAAGCTTGCTCGTGTGTCTCACGAACAAATGAGACCACTCAACAACAAATGCTGCTTCTTTCCAACATGCCAAAAAAAAAAGATAAACGACAGTCTTTGCAGGGGGAGAAGGAGGTGATACCTGAGCTAGGGCGTAGCGCTGCTGCACAAAGTCGCTCTCGTGTGTGCGCGCCCAAACACGCGATCTGCGAGTGCCATACGCATACACCCATGGATAAATTTAAAAAAAAAAAAAAAAATAACATCATCCTCCGACCTTCTTCAAGTCGGACGTCTCGCCATTGGCGCGATGGACACGCACTTGAGTGTCTCAGAGAGCATGAGTTGGCCCATGACCACGGCCACGCAAAAGAGGTCCCAGGACTGATAGCCCGCAGGTGATGATGGGAAGGTGGGTTGTGTTTCCAGGGTCTGTTCACTCGTGACGAGCGGTAGCGAAGGGAGAGCGAGACCCTCCAAGGCTGCTCGCTGTTGTAGCACGTCATCGAAGATCAAGTGGTCGGGCAGTTCGATGGGGCGCTCCAGCACGTCCACGTGATCTGCAGCCGGGCCGGCATCGACGTCTGACGAGTCACCGGCACCGACATCGAGTGCGGCATCTGACAAATCAACACTTCCTACGAGCAGGTCAATCAACGTACATGACATGACATGCGGCTCTAATGCACAGGCCATGTTGCACAAGAACGAGGTGCCCACCTGTGCTGGATACGACCCGGATCTCTGCTTCGCTGTTGCTGCGCGGAGCTTCTACAGAGGAGAGCAGCGCTTCTGGAGCGCCAGCGGCTAGGCCTTCTTTTGTCAGCGAGGCAGCAAAAGCCAAGTCCTCTGACTCGTCAATGTCTGACACGTTGCTTGCGTTGGTGAGAGACCACATGGTTTGTTGCCCAGTTTTGGCTGGATGTGGAGCTTGAAATATTTGAACCACACCACTGTTCTTCAAGACGTTGCGCTTGCCCACCAAGTCTAGACATTTGGGAACATAGCAAGCAAAGCTCGTTGATTCTCGGGAACAGTTGACAGCAAGACAGCGGCCCGAGGCACCACCCAGGCGATGTACAGCTTCTTGGCTGGTTGGGAGCGGCGGAATGCCTTCAACGCACCGTAGGGCACATTCTTAGCCTTGACCGCAGCCTCACCCGTCAGCAAATAGCCAAATGTGAGGTCAATCCAAGTGTGCAAGTGCTCCGTGACGTAATCACTCTCTAATGCCTACGGGTGCGACGATGGAGCAACGTCAGGAGGACGTTGCGCATTCAGTGTTGCTGCATCAAGACCTCAAAACAGCTTTTCCTGACCTCCCGATGCTGGGCAATAAAGTCTTCTGGCGAGTCGGCCCAGGCGGGCAGGTGCAGGTCAGGAAGGTCAGCATGAATGGAGCGAAACATTGAGGGGTCGGTGTAAAACTCGGGGATGCACTCGTCCGGAGACACCATGTACATGCGCTCCTGCGTGAAGCACAAGTGAGCACGGGGCAGGGAGAGGTGGGGAGTGTCAGGTGGGGCTGGCAAAGTTTGTGTGTGCCGATGCTGTTGATTTCCCCGAACGACGCAAACATATGAGGCAACGAACCATTGAGCTGGGGTATTCTTCGGGCACCCAGCGTGAGCGCACATGCTCGCAAAGAATATCCTTGGGTGTCACGCGCGCCTTCAGGACGAAATAGGAGAGCTCGGAGAGGATGTCTGCCACGTGATGGGGGTCCGGCCCGGTCCAGGCCAGATCGAGCTGTGCATCGCCTTTGTTGAGGCGATACTTGGACTGAGTCAGGTCGCGCCACGAGTCACCAAGACTTGATCTGGACGAAGAAGAAAACGCATGAGCAGTGCATGAGTACGAGGAAAGATCGGTCGGCCAAGCAAAAACAACGCCAACTTAGCCAACTGGTAGCCCAGCGAGCAAGGCGAGGCAGTTGACAGACCCAGAGAAGTCGGTGATCCATGGGAAGATGGGGTGGTGATTTGGGTCGTTGAGTCGACGGCCAGCATGAGAATTGAGGGCCATCAGATAGTCAAAGTTGCTAATGCCTCCAAGAAGCCTGCCAAAGCGACGCAGACGTGAGCATGAAGCGGTGCGCTCGGGAGGCGCGATTCAGTTCACGACTGATGGACACACCATGCTTCGACGAGTACGCCGAGGGGCAGCTGATCACTAATGTCAACTGTGCCGGGGGCAGCTGGGGGTGGCAAATTCAGATTCAAGTTGGGATGGGGCGGTAGAAGAGTCACGCGCAGCTGTGGATTGACACGGATCGTGTCGAGACCAATCCTGAAGGTACGGCGGCGAATAAGATTAAAAAAAAAAATTCGCAAATGCAAGCGGTCTGCGAGTAAATTTGAGTTGCGATGGGAGTGGGTGGAACCCCACCTTCCATGGGTAAGACCCTGTTCGTGCAGGTTGGCCACTTGATCACAGAGCTGCAAGAATAAGGGGTGAGTATGGAGAATTGAATCAGGTGAATGCGGCAGGTCATGCGCCGTGCAGAATTGGGTGTCAAGTCTCAATACCTGTTGAAAGATGTACATGGTGGACATGCCATTAAGATTGAGCAGTCCTGGGGCGTGGCGCAGAAGGTGGTGACCGCTGCAGGTCTCATGGCGCAAAAGGATGGTAGTGCTGTTATCCTCGAGGAACAGGCCAAGCACTTCGTGAAAAGGTGAGGGTGGAACAGTGGCCATGGGCGCAGGTGATGTTGGGTGAAGTGGCAGGAGCTCAAAGGCTTCCGCGCTGGGCAGGCGCTGGAATACGGGGCCAGCCGCGGCAAGAGCATCAAGCCAGGCTTGACAGGCTTCGGCAGAGGCCGGGGCGTTGGCGTCCAAGGACGTGGCGGTGATGCGGCTGTCTAGAGCACGCGGGTTGTGGAGCAGGGCAAGCACGCCGGCCGTGGCTTGCGCCGAGGCCTGGTGACTGGCTGCAATCAGGGAAGCAAAGACAGAGGTGGCCTGAGTGCCATCTTCGGGGGGTAGGGTTGATGGGTCTGTGGCTGTAGGTGCGCTTGCGTTGGTGCGGCCCGGGGGATTTGCTGGTGCTGGCGTGACGCGTGTTGTAGCATCCACTGGCTCATGGGGCTGAGCGCTCTGGCGGGGTTGTCCGGGGACGGTGATGGCCACTAGCAGGTCAACACCGTGCTTGCTTCGCGCCCGATGGTTGGTGGAGGGCTGAAGCAGATGCGCATAAAGATGCGGGGGTAAAGAGCAGCGCGGGGGCTCCACCTGAACAGCGGAAGTCACGGGCGGCGTCTTATCGGCCAGCGGCTGGTCAAGGCTTTGCAAGATCTCCAGCCAATCCGAGTCCACCTGCAATTCAACGGGCATGAGAGAGCCAAGTCATGCCCAGACGGAGCGGAGCCCAGGCGGGGCGAGTTGGACGAAAGGGGACGAGAGACGTACCAGAATGGTTTCATAGCCGGATTCCTCGGCCGCCTGATCCAGTTGCGCAAGCGGGAGGCAACCGGGTAAGCGTCCAAGTGCTCGGGCCGAGGCTGGAGCCAAGCCCGGGGGTGCCGACAAGGTGCCTGCCCCACCCATGATGTTGTACCAGCCCCACAAGCAGCGCAAACTGTCGGCAAAGCCAGCACCGCCGACGTTGCTCACGGCCGTCGATGCGAGAGAGACACACTCAGAGAGAGAGAGAGAGAGAGAGATCAAGAAAACGACAAAAAAGAGAGATGATGATGAAATCAATCTCGACTCCAGAGACAGTCGAAGTTCATTCGATCCTTTCAGAGATATTGGTCTTTCAGGGAACTTTCATGTCACAAGATAGTACTAGTTTAAGGTTACTGAGAGGTTATGAGCAAAATGTAGCACTACTTCAGAGGAACGTGGTGAAACCTTGATCAGCTAAGAGCAGTTGACGCGATCTGATCTGTTGTGTTGCGCGTTGACGTCGAGAGCGTTGTGCCAGTGGTCGTGGCGACGAGGGGGGCGGAGCAACGAAGACCAAGGGGCTGAATAGGTGGTGAGAGGAGGATCTGAAACCTCGGGGTGTTGCGAGCTAGCTGGCGCAATGTGGGGCACCATCGTGCGGGGTGCGGGGCGTGCAAGTCGTTGGAGCCTTGGCCATCAGAGTCGAGGCATGACCCAGGGTGATGGGACGGCCGCCGCTACACCCGTACCCTTGGCGGTGCTGAAGTACTTTTTCGTGGAGAACATGGCAGAGAAGCGAGTACCCCACCGCTCGGCCCACCTGCAGCTGGCGCGTGATGCGGCGCGACGCGGGAGCCTGCTATTGGGAGGGGCGGCAGCCAATCCCGTCGACGCGGGCTTTCTCATCTTTCGTAGCCCTCAAGAAGCTCGAGAGTTTGCCGAGCAGGACCCCTACGTTCGTGGAGAGCTGGTGCGCAAGTATGAGATCCGCGAGTGGTCTGTGGTCGTTGGTTCCCTCTACGACCAGTTGTCTTCTGATTAAGCGGACTCGACAGGCTGGTGTAGCCGGGCCTTGCTTGCCCTTCTCTTCTCGGTCAAGGGCGCGCAGCGCACGTGACTACCTCATCCGTCAATCAAACCCACCCGCCTCTGCCTGTGTGTGATCGTGATTCTATGCGGCCCCCCGATGCCTGCCCGCGCATGTCACGCACAGCTCCAGTGGACGGACCCGCTGCATAATTGAAAGATGTCAAAGAAGGCAACACCACTCTGCTCGATTTTTTTTTTTTTTTAACATACATGTTAATCACCAAAACGCCACAGCTTGCTCAAGCCTTGGCCCGCTCCAGGGTCCAGACACAGGTCTGGCCAGCACCAGAGCTGGCCACCACGCGAAAGCCATGCGTGGCCAAGACGTTCAGAACCTTGCGGGGACAGTATGGGGAGACGTACTCGGTAAACGTAATGCCCAGCGGTTGCACCAGCTTGGCACCGCACGCGGCCATCAGCTCGGGGTCGCTATCAGCATCACCGCACACAGTCGGCCCATTGGCTATAGAAAGCACGGGCAGATGAGTTGGCGGGCAGCCAGCCACCGTCACGCACGGAGCAGGACACACGCCCGCCCGGGGGCCACACTCATCAGCCTTACCAAGGGTGTTCTCCGTCGACACCAAAATATACTCCATCCTGCCTTGTCAACTGACCAGACAGCCTCTCCGCGCGCCGCAAAAAAATAATACGTGCGCCCCTCCCGTCCTTCACCCCCGCGTTCGAGGCCCCTCCTCACCAACAGCCGCTCCAGCCCCCGTCTTTGCCCTCGGCCGTATCCCCCAACCTCGTCTGGGAATTTCAAATGCACAGACGAGAGAGAGAGAGAGAGAGAGGTGTTTTATCAGATGTATTTTACTTTGTGTGTCTGTGTCTGTGTGTCTGTGTCTGTCTGTCTGTCTGTGCGTGGCTCTGTCTCTGTCTCTGTCTCTGTCTCTGTCTCTGTCTCTGTCTCTGTCTCTGTCTCTGTCTCTGTCTCTGTCTCTGTCTCTGTCTCTGTCTCTGTCTCTGTCTCTGTCTCTGTCTCTGTCTCTGTCTCTGTCTCTGTCTCTGTCTCTGTCTCTGTCTCTGTCTCTGTCTCTGTCTCTGTCTCTGTCTCTGTCTCTGTCTCTGTCTCTGTCTCTGACTGGATCCAAAGAGGCGGCGGTGGCGGGTGGTGGGTGTATAGAACCGGGGATCGATTAGGTGGGCTGAGGTTGGGAGGTGTGTTGCCAGACCAGGTATGGCATGTCTGTGTATCGCTGTGTCTGTCTGTGTCATCTGTCTGTCTATGTCTGTGCGGGGCTGTCAGACTCGGCGGGTGCAGGAATGGCCTAGAGGGGTCGTGACGAGGATTAGTTCAACTAAGAATTGGACTCAAAAGGATGGCTGGTTCATGCCGCTGGCTCGCTCAGCGGGCCAGAGGACGCAGCAGGGGCAAAGGTGTGAAATCCAAGAGCGTAGAGTGCGGTTTCCAGGTCTGCGTCGAGAGGAAGCAGACGCACTGTTGCCTGGGGCCACCAACGGGCAATGTGCGCGTACTGCGCCGGAAGCTGGTTCAGCAGACGCTCGTGATACAGCCGAATGTCGTTGATGAGCCACAGCTGATGTGGTAGGCCGACATCATACGCCCCCAGCAGCTCGTTGTACAGTTTGCCCTCACAATGGGGGAGGAAGAAGAGGGCACGGGTGGGAAGGGTGTCCGGCGAGGGACTGGCCACTACCAAGCCTTGCGCTGCGAGGAAGGTTTGCTCTAGGCATGAGAAGCAGGGATCATACACAAAGACGTTCTTGGGCGCAAGGCCCAGATCTTGTATGAGCGCGAGGAAAAAGGCCAGCTGTCGTCGTCCCGTGCGCGAAGTGGCAAAATTGCCCAGGCAGAGGCAGACAGCGCTAAGAAACGGGTTTGCCTCATGGGCCGAAGAGACAACACCTGCGCAGTGTGGTAGGCCGGGTGAGCAGGCCAGAGCTCTCGACACCAGTCAGCCAGGCGTTGCTTCACCGACCTGTCGCAAAGTTGAGCGCTTGGCTACCCACAACGGCTTCCCTGTGTAGCACACCAGGCCCCGCGGGCGGTGATGAGGTGCAGGATAAGGATGCCGGTATTGGTGCGAGACACCTGGTTCAACGGTCGACACGCGCGCACTCACCGATCTTGAGCGAGGCGCGCGCGCAGACGCTGCAGCTCATCTGCCGACGGTGGCGGGTCACTCCCATCACTTTGGCGGTGTGCAGCAAGAGGGGTCGACTGCACCGCAGCAGCCACGCCTGGCGGTTGGACGGTGCTCGGCTCAGCCTGGTGTGGTTGCACCCGCTGTGGCTGGCGCCGCCGCCGCCGCCGCGTGTGCACCACCTGAAACTCGTCGTTGTCGTCTGCTGCCATGCTGTTAACGTGTTTACGCTGCTACCGCATCTTCTCAATATTTTTCGTCAACAACTACCGCTTCTTGCTACGCATGTTTGCCTTGATGCGCATTCTTTTCTGCACCAGATCACACTTTATCTACTCTATCTAATAAACCAGTAATAGTCAGCAATTTATGCGCAATTTTGGGGTAATTTTTTTCCACTGCAGGGAAAAAACCCATGAGCGCGTTGATGTTGCGCTGTACACAGCTGGCTGATGCACGGCCCAGAAGGGCCATTTCAATGTTTGCGAGCACGGCATTCCAAACCTCCTGAAAATGAGCGAAACACGAGTAACAAAAGCAGCACCGATTGTTGAGCCTTTGCATCCGACTTTGCAAAACAGACGCTCAGGTTGCACGAAATTTTAGCCATCGGCGTACTGAGCTTGTCTTGTTCTTTTCATCCGTGTATGCATGTGTGTCACAACGCGCCCCTCGCCTGGTTTGACTCGCTGCAGAGCGGCATGTGGTCGCCGATATCAACTGGGCCGTGTCTAGCACACGCACCCGAACGGCGTTGTTATGCGCAGAAGGTGTTGGACATGATGATGGAAATGCCAAACCAAGAGTGAAGCAAGATGGTGCCGAAGCGCGGCAGGGTCCGAGGACGGACGCGGCAGCGATCGTAGAGTGGTATCACGGCCCAGGGATACCCATGCCGGGGTTTGAGTCGGTGTCGGCACGAGAAAGGAAACGCTCGTCCAGTGGGGTGGACGCATGCACACGCGCAGCTGGGAAGGACCGGTCGTCACAAGCCAGAAACAACCAATGAAAAACCGGGGAGAAAGGCTCGGATGGGACGACCATCGACAAAGGAGGCGACCAGATTTCTGGGCAAGCGCCGAGCTGGTTTCAAGCGAGGAAGGCGGGTGCTTGCACCCCCTCAACGCGGTGGCGCTGAGGCGGGGCAGAGTGACCGACGGCGGGTGATTGGTCAAACGAGGCGCGAGCATGGTACGAGGGTCCAAAAACGCAGATACAATTTGGAGGAAGCAAACAAGACATCGAGGCCAAACGCAGTTGCATGCATCAAGGTGGCATGGCCACCGGAGAGCAAAGGTGTGGCGGCTGCGCAGCAGCTGGGCCCGGGGTGCGGCGACAAGGATCACATTTTCTTATCATTGTAACTTTTGCGAACATCCTTGAGTTCGTCTTGAGCTCGAAGAATGTCCTGAGACGGGTACACACGAGCACGGCAGAGTGAGACAACAGGCATGTTTGGGCTTTTGTACGCGCAGGGTACAGCAAAAGGGAAATAAAGGCGTGCATCCGTACCTTGACGCGCTGGCGCTTCTTGCGGTCGTGTCGCAGTTGCAGCAACAGGCTCTCACACTTGAGGGACCGTGCTGAAGGGGCCAGCTCGTATGCGGCTTGGGTCTACAGCGGCCATGAGCAGGAATGGTCGGTGAATGCCGATGGTTGCGGCAAGCAGTGAGCGGGCGGGCATGCGCGCGTTCGCAAGAGGAAGAAAGGGGGCCGGAAGTCAGACGACGACGACGACGACGACGACGACGACGACGAGGGGCGCGAGAACCAACGGACAGACCATGGAAATGATGTACTCCATCACACAGTCTTCGAGACAGTCGACGGTGACTTGAAGCGGGTGTCGCGCATCTCCAAATCCGTAGACCATCGGGGTCACTACCACACGCCAACACCCCAATGAGCACAAGATCGATGCGTGCCACACCCACGCACTGGACGCCCACATCACCCTCTCATGCTCCAAGCCGAGCTCGGCAGCACGGCAACACCCAGAGGACACCCTAGACAAGGTCCAACCATTGCCGGCACGGGCACACTCACACTCTTCAGCCAGGAGGCCCTTGAGACCAGCTTGAGGTCGGTTGCTTGCCATGACGGACGGCGCCGTGGGGTTTATGCAGAACGGTGGAGAAAAATGGCATCTCGTAACGGGAGTCCTACGTTAGAAGATGCAGCAGCCGAGTAACCAAATGCAGCAGCGACGTTCGCGAGGGAGCCAGACACACAGGCCTCGAATGCAGTCGCAGTAATTCCCCTACACCGACCAGAAAGTATTTTACATGTGTACAATCACAAAGTAAATTACTTTATATGTACCGTGCGCGGGAAGGACTAGGTCACATGTCTCGTCGAGTCGCGGCGCCGAATAATTTTGTATTAGCCTGAACATGACTTTTCGCTTTCAAATCTATACAATATACTCGAGCCGTTTGGGTCTCGATTGCCCTGCCCCCACACGATTGTTGCTTGGCATGTCCAGCATGCGGACATGTCTGCCCCACCACGGCTAGCACTCCTCGCACATACGCGACTGGCTGGACCCACAAGTCATCGTTGGCGATGCATCCTTTTCTCCTGCATTTTGTTGTTGCTGCTGTCACCCAAAGGGATTTCCTGTCAAAAATTTCAAGGCTGGCGTTGCAGATGACTCGAAACCAATCGCCGTGCGCAAACCCATCTGCGAGTTTTGTGAGGGTGCCGACCGTTGGCCGAGTTTTTTTTTTTTTTGGCAGTTGGATGACCGTTTCAACGGCATTGCCGTTACACCACGAGTCGAGAGAGAGAGAGAAAAAAAAAGAGAGTGAGCGGTTTGGGTATGCAAGCGCGAACGAGCTGTTGCCAAAAGGACGTGCCTCGTGCCACAGGGAATTCACTCATGGCACGAGACCACGGTTCATCATGGTCATAGTGGACCTTGGAGGAGAAGCGGGCTGCATGAGCGCTGCGCCAGTATTTCAGCTGGCCTTGGTGCTGTGGTCTCTCTATGTGGTCCTTTCTCGCGGTACTTGCCGGCATGGTTGTGGCCAGCCGCGTCTTACCACCGCTGCCGTTTGCATGTTGCCATTGCTCCCCCCTATGGAGAGGGTTTGAGATGCAGCACCTGTAAAAAATTCAATTTGTCAGGTGCAAGCTCGTGCGAGCCCACAAGCCAGGCTAGGTCTGATGGTGTGACGTAGTATTTGTGTATCCCAATGTATGAGTAGTGAGATAGGGAGAGAGAGAGTTTGAGAGAGAGAGTTTGAGAGAGAGAGAGAGAGCCGGAGACAGAGAGAATGAGTCAGAGAGCCAGAGCCAGAGACAGAGACAGAACAGAGATAGACACAGAGACAGAGACACGGGTACACAAGAGCCAGAGAGCCAGAGAGCCAGAGAGCCAGAGAGGGCGAGAGAATTTCAAAAGCAACCAAATTTCAGATGAGAAGACTCTGGAGGTACAACAACCCAAGACCTACACACCTACATGAGACAAATCGGCTGAAATTTGAAAAAAAAAAAAAAGTGGCAGCCCGTCCTCGGCCTTATGACCCTTGCCCGTGCGCCTGGCGTGTCTGGCCGGTCGAGCTGATGCTCTTTTCACACGCACCTTGCCTGCGGCCCCCCTCAAAAACCCCAAGTTGCAAAGCGGCGAGTGCCAAGTATGGGCGATAGCATAGCATTCCCCAAACCATCCAAAAAACAGCAATCTAAAAACAAAAGACTCCCTCCCTCCCTACAGTAGAGAGCAACAACGCTACACCAAAAAAGCATTGGCTGGGTTCGGCGCGATCTTTGAAATCGGCGCATGCACACCACTTGCGCACACACACACACACACTCACACACACACACACCGCTCGAGATCGGAGTGGTGGCATTTTCAACGCCGAGACTCAAGCGTCAATGGTTGCACTGCCGTTGCGCGGGGCGCCAAGATTCATCAGCCTGCCAGTGCCGAGTGCCGCACCCGGTCGCGCGTTTCGGCTGCCTGGTAAGCCGCACCGCGTGTGCATCACATTCATGTATCGTTGGTCAGTGGCACTGCAAGCCACTGGCATACCACCACGACCACCACCCCTCTCTGCCTCTGCCTCTGCCTCAGCCCTCGGCACCACCGGGATGGCCGGCAGAGCCATCCTCCCCGTTGCAAACCCGGCTTGATCTTGCGCCGTATCCTTGCCCGTGTGGCCTGCTTTGTCCCTCTTTGAAAAGTCTTGCTTGTCTTTTTCTGAAACCACCGCCCGCGCTTGCCCGGCTCGTCCATGTCCAACCGTCACGTCAATCCCCCGGACCTGCTGGTCTTTCGTCTTCTTGCGCCTTTGCACCTTCTGTTGGTCGTCCCTCTCTGTCAATGTCTGCAACAACCCACCCCCCGTTCGTCCATCGTAACCCACAGCACTCCTCCACCTGCTCGTCAGCTCGGCACAAGCCATCGATCGATTCATCCGTCCCTCCCAATTGTCCATCCATCTCTCTGCCTACCGGTGCCACAGTCGTACCCTTTCTTGTTTTTTTTTTTTTTTCCCTTGATGGCGCACCACCCAACAGACTGCGACCGTAGACTCACACACCCTTCCCCACCCCCATTGCATCGGAGGAGAGATTCCTTTTGGGTTATCGTGTGTGTGTGTGTGTGTGTGTGTGTGTGTGTGTGTGTTCTGGAGTTACAGCTTGATACCCAAAGAACAAAAGAAATACACACAACACACAAAAGAGCTTTTTCCTAATGTGTGTGTGTGTGGGGTTTTCTTTCTTTCTTTCTCTCTTTCTTGCTTTCCTTGCCTTTTTTTTTTTTTTTTTTTTTGAAAAGCTCGAGTCGTAGGTGATGAAAGGTGTGTGTGTGGGTGTGTGTGGTGATTTCCTTTTCGAGTGAGTGGTCCGTGTCTCTGGTGTTTTGACGCGGTTGTGCCCGCTATCCGCTGGCTACGACCACGATATCGCTCCCTCCCTGCCCCTACCACCCCAACCGCGATCCCGCACGCGGCATGCTTCCCTCCACCCCTCCCCCTGCCGTTGATAAGGGGGGGGGGGATGAACTGAGTGACTGACTGGCTCGAGTCTTTCTTTCCTTGCCTTTTTGCTATTTTTGAAAAATAATTTCATTTCTTCCCAGTGGGTGGTGGTGGTGGTGGCGCTCCCTCGTCCATTCATCCGTTTGCCCAGTGCGGGTGCTGTTGGTCTTGTTGATCCATCATCATCTGCTCCCCGACGACAAGCCACCCCACCCTTCTTCCACATATGCAAGTGCGCTGGGAAATGAGAGCGCTGTGCTCACTCGCCCTACTTTTTGCCTCGCTTTTGCTACTTCCCCAGCCTCAAGGATCTGCTGCACTTTTCTGCTCCGTCGGCACGGCTCACCTGGCCTCGGCGCTTAGCAACTCGCCCCCTCTTCTCTCGTCGATCACCCCCCTCCCCCCAACGTTAACCTTTCTTGGTTGGGTAAGTCTCACTCGTCCGCTCCCGTTCGGGGTTGAGCGTTCATCACGCTGCCACTTCAGCGCCCCTCCCCAACCTGAAAGCATGACTACCCTTGCCTCGCCTTGGGCCAATCACGCCGTCAGTTGCTCTGTTGGGCACACTTCCTCTTTTTCGTTTTCAGCCTGCCCTGTTATTTGTTTGCTTTCCATCCCCCTCGTTGTTCGCCTTGGGCATTCTTTGACTTGTTCGTTTTCCGTTGAGATGTTGGGTGTCTCAACGGTCATAACGGCATCGCCGTTTCTTCCACCCCTCTCCTGCCTACCCCCTCCTCGCCCACAATGTGCCATTTTCCTTCTCGCGTCTCCCGCTCATCCCGAGCTCCTGCCACTCATCAGAGCTCGCCAAGCCAGAGTTCTGTGCGTGCGTTGCCTCGTGTGCGGAGGACCCTTTTCGTTTCTTTCTTTCCTCTTCTTTTCTTTCTTTTTTTTTTTTTTTTTTTTTCAAATCAAGTTTTGTTGTGGCTTTTCGAGTTTGAGGTTTTTTTTTCTTTCTTTCTTACTTTTGGCATGCCGTCTTGACAAAGTTGGATGGTGTGATTCAATGGCAGTGGTGTTTGTGGTATCGCCCCTTTCCTCAAGGCCACGGCTCATTCTGGTCGCGTGCTTGGTTTAGGCAATCTCGTTCATCGCCGCCTTGGCATCATGAGCAATTCATCCATGCCCAGCCGTTTGCGGCGCAACAGCCACGCTACCCGTGCCATCTTGAACGATGCCTCCAACAATAGCCTGAAGGAGAATTCGCCCAGCAGCTCCAACAGCTGCGGCGAACGGGATTGCTCTTCCCCCAGCATGCCTCGAGAACATCGCCAAAATGGTCGCAAGCTGATTTCGAAAAAGAGCAGCCGCAGTTCTCGCAATTCGGCATCAGAACCTTACTCTTCCGGCTCTCCCCGCACCACCACCTGGGTTCACTCTCGCTGCTGTACGTGCTGCATTTTCTTCCTTGTTCCTTCCCGGTTTTGCATTGTCGGGTCGACACTCTTCTCACCCACCGCATCTCGTTGTGCTTGCATTTCATGTACAGCCGCCGCCTCGTCATGTTCAGAATTATCGCCGTGCTCCAGCCCCGTGCTCTTCGCCAGCCACAACGAGCAGTTGCGCCCCGCTAGTCGCACGCACATCCTCCCCAATCATACCGACGAAGCTCTCTCCGCTGAGTTTGGCGGCGTGCAACTCGGAAGTCAGTCCGTGATCGATGTGCTTGAAGACGACGACGACGACGGCGACGCTGTCTTTGAGACCTGCCCATGGCTCAAGGGCAACTCAATCGAGGACCACTACGAGGCGATGGAGTTTGACAACGATATCCTGGAGGAGCTATGTGTTCCCACCCCCGACCGTTCAGATGGCTCAAGCCGATTTCCCATCTCCAAGCTGTCCAACTTGGGCGCAAGCAGTCTCAACCAAAGCTTTCCCCCCGCGAACATGACCAGGCAGGCCGCCGCCACAGCCTCCCCACAGCTCACTGCCTCCCGACAGATCAAACCGAGCAACACGGCCTTTCGAGCCACTTGCGCCCAAGGACAGCTAGCTGGATCACCACTGCTTCTGCCAGCAGCCTCTCAGCCATCAGCATCGCCTGCTCGCCAAATCGCGGAGAACCCAGGCCGCCCAGCGCCGCGCCGCGCCGTCACACTGCAGCGCTCCCAATCCGAGTCGGCGGCTAGTCGCCGCCCCGTTCCCGACCTTGTCCCTTCCAGTTCCGAGGATCGAAAGAGCGTGCCCCTCAGCCGGGACGTGCGCTCAGAAGCGTACGTTGCCTTGCAGCACAGACCAATCCGCGTGTCGAGTCAACAAACTTATTGTGTCATTCGCTTGCCTATATGTTTCCCCGCAGTGATGTGTGTTCACCGTTACCCAAACTTCAATCTGCGATGCAGTCAGACCATGACTATGAGTATCCCTTGCCGCTGACCGACACCCGGCACTGGTATGTCGCGTCTTGTCACGTTTACCCGCCTTGGCTTCTTCTGTCTCCGCCCCCCACGCAAGTCCTTTGTTGATGGGCCATCCTTACCATGTCTCTTTTATAGCAAACGCAAATACATTCGAGCCTACATTTCTGGTGAAACTTTGTCTCGCTTGCTGAAGGGCGAGTATGCCGAGCATTTTACCCATGTTTTGGTGCTGGACTGCCGCTTTTCGTTTGAATACGACGGCGGCCACATCCTGAGTAAGTCATTGACCTTCAGTGCCACTTGTCTTGATCTACTCCCTCTTTGATTTGGCACGTTCCCTCTTGGGCGCCCGATTGACTTTTGTTGCACCTCATTCTTCATCTCCTGATCCTCAGACGCCCAGCGCGCTTGGCTACGCGAGCATGTTCTCAACCATTTGTTTTACAACCCGCAAGTGCCGTTCACTGAAACCCATCGCACGGCCGTTGTCTTCCACTGCGAATTCTCTGCCCAACGCGGCCCCGACCAATACGAGTTTGCCCGCTGTCTTGACGACATTTTCTCGCATGGCACCGGACAGCGACTTTGGCCCAACGTACGAAACAATGATGCCCCTCTCAATACGGATTGCTCTGCACATCGCTTGCCAAACCCCTCACCTGTTGCGATCGGCCGCGATGGATGACAGATGTTCATTCTAGAAAAGGGCTACCGTGAGTTTTACAAGAACTATCCCGAGCATTGCTTTGGAAAGTACTGCGAGATGAAGGACACTACCAAGGCGTCGGACCTCGCACATGATGAGCAGATTCTCGAGTGCAGTCGTCTCAGCGTCCAAGACGCCGAGAAGCTGGAAGAAGATCACGCTGCATTCTTTGAAATGCGAAAGCAATTCGTCAAGGGAGGCCGCAGTGCCCTTACGAACCCTCGACGCATGGTTCAGGGTGGTGAGCCGATGACGCCTGTGCACCAGATTACCAAGTACCGATGAGCCGTGCGTTTGAAGGGCATCCAGGGATCCACGTGATCTCTGGACATGTGTTTGTCGTCATTTGCTGTTCGTTGAGCCGTTTTGTGCCATAGTTCTGAGATGCCACACCCTCCCCTCCATTTACATAGTTGTGTGATGCTCTCGATGCTTCTTTCGCCTTTCCTTTCTTTTCCTTTCCTTTCCTTTCCTTTAATATTGCTACTTGGTTTTGCACGCCGGCTTTGTGCTGCTCATGAGCCAGAGCGTTGCCTATTGTTTTTAGTTTCTTATTTCTTTCTCCCTTTATTTTTAACAGGCGCGTTGCCTCATCTTTTTCATGTGAGGGTGGGTGCGCCCTTGCTACATCAAGGCAGAGGGCTCAATGTTGCTCCGCCATTCGACCGACATGCCACTCCAAAGTGTTCTGTTGTGTCATGTTGATTTCTTTTACTCCACCCTGAGTCGCCAATCCTTGAGTTTTTGTGCGCGGTTGTTTGTTCCACGCCCCCGTTTTGATGTCCTTGATGATGATGATGATGTTCTATTGTTCCTTTCACACGTCACTCCGTGTTGAGACCACGTTCGCCAAGCGATGAGATAATTGATGCACAGGAAGTCCCACGATTGTGTAGTAGTCGCCCTGGATGCTCTCAATCAACACGGCGGCGGTTGACTGAATGCCATACCCTCCAGCCTTATCCATTCCGTCACCTGCGGTCGTGGAGAAAGTTCAGACGTGAGCTGTTTTGCGGACGAGCAGAAGGGGCTTGAAGCTCGCACAGAACGTCAAGGAACCGCAAGCGTACCAGTGGCCACGTAGGCGGCAATCTCATCCTCGGAGAGCTTGGCAAATGTCACGGTGGCTGTCTCGTGAAAGGTGGAAAACTCGTAGTGATCATCAGGGCCGCGCACGCCCAACGCCACTCCCGATGTGACTTGATGGCTTGCTCCAGAGTGCGAGCGCATCATGGCGGTTGCATCCGCCGCATCCACGGGCTTTTCCATGATTTGACCCGAGGGGAGGTGGATCACCGTGTCAGCCGCTATTCAATCAGATACCATCACAGTGTCAGGCGAACGTCTGTCTCTTGCAAGTCAGGGGAGGGAAGGTCAAAGCCCATCGAGACTCCGCCTTCCCCCTTCGGCCGATGGGTCTAGTAAGAGCAAGGTGGGCAAAGGGTTTTTGGCGCATCGCCAAGCGAAAGGCCCACCGATGATGATATCGGCCTGCCGGCCCAGCCGAGAGGCCACTTCCCGAGCCTTGTGCATGGCGTTGTCTTCCACAAAGGCTTGAACGGTAGGGTAGCTGGCCTTGTCCAGCGACTTTTCATCAAACCGGCTCGATTCTACCACAAATTGCAAGCCCTGCGCGCGTTGGTCCACAAGACCTCGTCAGCATGCCGCTTCGTCAGCTGAGGGTCAGACCAGGGTTGTGGTCGTGGGCTGCACAGGTGCACGCACCATCTGGGTCAGCAGCTGGGCCCGCCGCGGCGAGCCGCTAGCCAGCACGATGCGACGCGCATTGAGCTGGGGCAACACGTGCAACAACATCACAACGTCGCCCACAACACAGCCCCCGCCCCTACGTTTCTCCCCTGGCGCTCAAAAGACAGACCAGCAGACAACGTCCGCCCGCCTCCGACCGATCGCCCTGAATCCGACGCAGTCGAAGATTCAAATGACAGAGAGAGAGAAGGGAGAGAGAGAAGAGAGAGAGAGAGAGAGAGAAGAGAGAGAGAAGAGAGAGAGAGAAGAGAGAGAGAGAAGAGAGAGAGAGAGTAGAGAGAGAGAAGAGAGAGAGAGAGAGAAGAGAGAGAAGAGAGAGAAGAGAGAGAGAGAAAAAAAAAGAGAGAAGAGAGAAGAGTAAGAATTGAAAGAAGAGAAGAGAGAATTGGTTAGAAGAGAAGAGTTTGAGAGCAGAGAGCGAAGAGAGAGAGAAGAGAGAGATTTAGAGAGAGAGAGAGAGAGAGCAAAGAGTTGAACTGCTTTTAACAAGAAGACGACGCCCGACCTTTGTCAGACGAAACCATGGCGGCGGAGCTGGTGCGATGGCTGGTGCTGCTGCCGGAGACGGCGGGGCAGCTGGTGGTTGATCCGGGGCGGGTGAGCTTGGAGCAGATCGTGGCGTTGTATTGGGTGGGGTTGAGTTTGAGCATGGGGGCCGTGTATCTCGGGCGGCTGCTGTCACAGATCATACCGCCCGTGGCCAATGATGCGCTGCGGAACATCTCCACTTGGGGCAAAACGCGGCCTCGGCCTGGCACGCTCGCCGTTCCCAAACACTGGTTTTGGCACTTCTACGCTCTAGGCCTAGTGTGCTGGGTTGCAATCCTTGTACTGCATGCGGCGCCTCTTTCCTGGTCCTTCCTTGCCCTTGGGCTGCAGCTCGGCCGTCGCCTTTACGAGGATGGCTGGCTGGCTCGGCCCAGCGCAAGCACCATGAGTATTCTTCACTATCTCATTGGCATGACATACTACCCAGTCATGCTGGCCACCATCATGGTCCTAGCACCCCAGGCCACCTATGTCTCGAAGCATACCCAATTCACACTCTTCCTGGCCATGGTAGCCTGTATGATCTGGCAGCACCTGATACATCGCCATCTGGCGAGCCTCCGAGCTGATGGTACGCTTCCCCCCTCCCCCCTCCTTCCAGCTGCTCCGATATCGCCGCTAGCGCCATGACTTGATACCCCTCCTTTTTCTGTACATCAATGATCGAATACATGGTGCTTAGGATCCACTGGTTATCGCCTGCCCCGGTTTGTTCTCAATGGATCTTGCCATCCTCGGCGTTTGCTCCCACTCGCTTGCTGGAAACGGCTGTTATCACTCATCCCGAACACCCCTTTGTCTACATACACCACCAGACGATTTGGTTTTCAACTTGTGGCGTGTCCACATTACACGGCCGACATTCTGCTCTACCTGCTTACCTTTTTTGTACGCAACTGCCCCACTTCCTCTCAATCAAGTGCCTATGACTCAGCTTTGGCCCGTTTGCCCTCACGTCTTGACTTTAGTCGTTTGGAGGCCATGCCATCCTGGGTTGGGCCGTCATATACACCGCATCATCACTGCACCTCGGCGCTCGTCAGGTTGGTTTGACTCTTAGCCCACGCACAATTGCCAACGAGCATGCAAGAGGCAAACGTGCAACTGTGGACTCTCACCCCTGTTTCATGGCACGGCCCCCAGAACTTTCGCTGGTACCACCAACGCTTTCCCAAACAGTGCACCATGCACGGCGCCCTTTTGCCAGTCCCGGGGTTGTAAAAGCACAGCATCCATTGTTTCCCCAATACCCTCATGCTCTCGCCTATGATTGGTCCTTGCTCAAATTGAAAGCTGATTTGCAAATCTTCTTCAAAACTGTCTTTCAATTCTCAAACCATCCAAGATATGACTCAACTCAGTTGCAAAAGTACACACCAACTTCTTCAAGCGCCAGAAAACACCCCGCCGCCAGATGACGTTTTATAACACCCAACAATAGTCCAGCATCAAAGCAATCAGTTGATGCGACCTAAAAGAAACGAAAAAAAAAAAAAAAAAGATAAGAGACAAAACAAAACAAAAACAATAACAGTCAGCTAGCTGATTCGTGCTGCTTGCTTCATCACCAAGCTCCTGGATTCCCGGAGCCAGTGTCGCTAGTGTCGCTAGTGTCGCTCACAATCATGCAGCACCACTCGCAGGAGGGGCGCCGCTGCCCGCAGACGCTTGTGGTTGCTGGGGGGCTGCTTGTGGTTGCGGTTGTTGTTGCTGTACCAGTGTCTGAGGCATTGTCTGACGCGGTGGTGCTTGGGCCTGAGACACCGTTGGTTGCGCCTGTACAGTGCCTGGCTGCTGCTTGTGCTGCATCTGCTGCTGCATCTGCTGCTGCTGTTGTTGGGAGTAGAGCTGTTGTTGCCGAGCTTGTTGTAGCTGCGCCTGCTGCATGGCGTGCGCACGCTGTTGCTGCTGTTGTCGTTGATACTGTGCTTGATGTAGCTGCTGCTGTTGTTGGGCGTGGCTTGTCACGGGCTGTACTAGGCCTGCAGTTGACCGTGGAACCTGACCGACGCCGCTCGAGCCACTGGCGACAGATGTTCCCAGCGTGCTCTGAGCAGTGGTTTGCAGCGGTTGCTGTTGTGTCGCCGAAGCAGTTGAGCTCGGTGCGGACGCGGACGAGGTGGTCGCGGCGCCAGACGTCGCCGTAGAGGTTGCCAAAGAGAGCTGGAGCTGCTGCTGCTGTTGCTGCTGCAGCTGCAGCTGCTGAAGGCGTGCTTGCTGTTGTGAATACTGCTGTGAAACTTGAGGTGCCACCTTGCTGAGCAGCCCGTTCAATTCAGAGACCTGCGACATCCAAGGGTAGGTGAGACAGAGTTGTTAGTCAGTGCACTGGGCGTCGCCCCAGCATTGCGCACGGGGCACTCGGGAGACGCCAATACAGGGCGTCAAGGTCGCACAACCAGCAGCATTGCACACACCTTAACGTCTTCACTCTTGTTGACATCACTGTGAATGCGATCAGCCATCAGCTTGAAGCTCATGTCCGTGGTACGGGCCTGAATTTGGTGCAGAATTTGTGTCGACATGGCTGCTCGGTTGGCGGGCACGGAAAGCTGGGGCATGCCGTGCCCAGCGTGGCTCACAGGCGTCATGCGCGACGGCATGCCCGTGGGAGAATTGATATACGCGGCATTGCTGTACGGAGTTCCTGACACCCGACGTCCGTACATTTGCGTGCCTCCCATGGTCATCCCGGGCGAGCTGGTCATTGGCTGAGTGGTGGCGGGTCGCGTGGTTCCACTTACTCGGTGTGCCACCGACGAGGTGGGCGGCATTGTGCCACTATTTGAACGCACGAGATGTGGTGCCGAAGACATGGCCGTGGACGTGGCCGTCGTGGGGGCACTCGAACCCTGGCGGGTATAGGTGGGCATGACGCCAGAGCGTGGCACACCGCGCGCCATTGTAGTGGATGCTCCAGCGATGCTTGGGGCAACGGTGCCCCGAGCATGCGTTGAAGCGGCGGTGGTAGTGAGGCTACCACTGGCGGGGGCTGTGGCAGTGGCTGATTGATTCGCTACGCCATTGGGTGTAGCGCCACTAGCGTTGGTACTGCTTGTCGAGTTGGCGGCGGCCGCTGCAGCGGCGGCGGCGGCAGCAGCAGTTGCCGTGGCTGCCGCAGCTCGGCGCACCGCCTCTTGCTTTAGCCGCTCTAAACGTTCTGCAGCCAGGATTTGCGGCGTTGCGCCAGCACCATCCAAAATGTGCTGCTGTGCCAGAAAGCTATCAAAGTTGTTGGTTGTTTCTGCTTTGCGCACTTTGACCTCACGCTTGGCTTGTGCCGCCTTGACAATCGAGCTGAGTGCCGACTTGTGAAACTGTGCCACGGTGTTGTGCTTGTCGTTTTCGTACAGGTTTTGCGTGTCCAGCACCTCCTACAAGTTGACCGTAGAGGTAGAAGCCAAATATGAGTCAATACGGTTGATAAAAGAACTGCGGCGATTGGGGTCTGCGAAGCGCAAGCAACACGCCAGCGGGCAACAAAAAAAGCGACGCAAACTCAAGTGCGCCATGCAAGCAAGCAATCACACCTCAGCATCATCGCTTTCCTCGCGTTTGGCTCGTTTCGTGCTTTTGCGTTTGGCGGACTTCTTTTTGTCGTCGCCTGGTGTAGCGGCTGCAGGTGCTGCAGCATCTGTTTCGCTGCGCCCTTCCTCGCGTGGTAAAACAACGTTGAAGAAGTGCTCTCGACATTGTGCTGACGTTCGGTGGACGCCTAGGAAGCCAGCTCGATGATGAGAGAAATTATACTACACGAACAGATGATGCTCAAAAGGGGTGGGCGCACCTGCAAAGCTGGTGGACATATTGACGACGTTGGCAACCAGGCTCCAATTGATGAGGCCGGATGGCAGCACATGGGTGCGCACGGCTTGCAGCAATATCCAATCTTCATCAATCTTCCACTCCTCTGCATTGACGTTGACTTCTGCGTCACGCTCAAGCTGCTTGGGCGGGCGCCTTGGAATTTTGGCCGCTGGTCGGGGCTGTCGCATGTCCTCTTTCTTTCGGAACAGCGAGGCCATGATACCCCGTGGCGGAGCCGCTACTGACACAGGAGCACCCGGTGCCCCAGTGGCACCGGGCACGCTGGCGGGAGGACCCAGTGGTGATTTGCTGGCCGCAGCCTTGACCGCTGCTTTCGGCGTTGCACTCTTGTCATCCTTCACCACTGCACCAACCACGGCCGTCGGCATGGTTCGGCGCTTCTTGGCCAGCAGGGCAGCCAGGTCCTACATTGTTGTTGAAGCACGCCGAAAACGTTAGGCAGCCCACCTCTTGTGGCCACGTGCGACCAGCGAATTAGTGAACAGCACAGAACATTTTCAAGAGCCACAAAATAGTTACCTTGCTGGATTTGAGTTGAAACGTCTGCGACAATTGGATGTCTTCTGGTTGTACAGCATTCTGCCCAACAAAACAACCGCAACAAAAGCAGGCAATCCGTGAGAGATGCGTTGGCATGCCGACAGGTGTTGAAAAGAGCCTTGCGCAAACGGCCAAATCGTGCGCGAAAAAAGGCCCAACAGATATAAAAAAGCACGCGCGCACACACAGACCCAGACCCAGTAAAACGAAAAAAAAAGGGGGGGGGTTGGGGTGGTCAAGAACTTTACCCGAGTGCGGATGTCGCGAATTTTTTTGCGACGTTGTCGACGTCGGGAGCGATCAGGCTCTTTGCGTGAAAAGAACATAAAGCCTGGGGAAAGGAAGAATTTCGACGTGAGTTGATGCCGTGATTGGCCAATCGTCCAACATGTGGTAGAACGTACCAACGCGGTAGTGCGACACATGAGCCGGCTCCATGTAAAGATCAATCTCTTGGTCTAGGGCGCTGGGTTGTGGAGGAATGTATAGTTCTTGCAGATGCGGTTGCTGCTTGTATCGCTCATAGCCATAAGCTAGTGATGGGCCGTGATAGAACAACGACCGCTCCGTCTTCGGGTCGAATCGAGCATCTGCAAACAATAGCTTGTTCCGTTCCTATTTACATGCAAAGCCGAACCCATGTCAGTGGCCTGGTGCAAAGGCTTGCAAAGGTGGGCCTCCGATCAAATATGCGAATAAACGTACAGGAAAGGACAGCCATGCACGTCCTGCGAGGCGGCCACGAATGTTGTCGATAACACGCGAATAGCTGGTGGCTGTCAGGCTTTGAATTGCTACACGTGCGTGCTTGCCAAGACCTGCCAACACGAAGTGAGGGATCGCAAAGGTCGTGCCCCGTGCGCTGGCATTGGCATGCTCTGCAAAGCAAAAGAGCCAGGTCGATGTACCTTGCAACTTCAAAGCTGTCGGGGTTCCTTGGATTTCTCCCTCCTTGATCTGGGCATCAGCAAAACATGAGTGCATGCCAGCGTACAAAACCCAAACAGCATCTCTCATCTGACTCAGAGCCAAACTCCATTTGGAAAACAACAATGACAACACCAACACCGCCACCACCATCTCCACCAACGCCACTACCACCACCAAAAAAAAAAGGTGGTCTCATTCAAACGCAAAGTTCAATCTGAAGTCATGGTTCTGTCCTGGGCCATACTTACCCAGACCGATCTGCGCGACAAAAGATGAGCGCCATCAAGCGCAGCAAGTTGATCTCTGAGTGCGCCAGCTACGAGCTCATCGCAGGTGCCGGCGTCCTGGTTGACCACGCCATTCAGGGGCTTGCTGCCGTAGCAGTGCTACCCCGAAGCAAAAAAAAAAAAAAAAAAAAAAAAAAAAAAAAAAAAAAAAAAAAAAAAAAAAAAAAAAAAAAAAAAAAAAAAAACCAGGAAAAAAAAGGGTTAATTTAAAGCGCTGGGGGCCCGTCCCGAAAAACCCGGTCTTCACACACCT